AAAATGGAATAGGTGCCAGAATGGTCCACAGCTCCGCGCGCCGGCCGTTCTGATCGGCACGTTTTTGGGGGCTGGGGAAAAAGGTTGTCGATCAGATTACTATTACAGATGTAGACATAGGTTGTTAAATTCAAAATTTGTTATCCGGCCTTCGGGGAAATCCAGTCCCAGGCTTGACCATCATGGATTTCCCCATTCGGCTGTCTTGTCGCAGGTTCAGCCAGCCTCAACCGTTTTCTCTTGAATCCCCCCGCCTTGGGGGCCCCCTATAGCATATAGCCAGAAACACCAAGATAGGGAGCCGGTTCTCGCGCGAGTCTCTCCCCTTGGAAGGGCACTACGCCCTGTGTCAATCATCTGTACCTTAAGCTCAAACGAGGGAGAAGGAGAAAAAAAAAAAAAAGAAGACGACCACGCTGCATCCATGGATCATCGCTCGACGTACTATCTCCTAGGGATAAACCGTACATGTCTCACCAGTGTTCCCCTCCATGCAAGTGACCAAATTTTAAATAAATTATTGGGATTTTAGTCTGGTATCTAGAGTCGTCTAGGCAGTTGGTTAGAGAGTTTAGACTACACCTAGCGACGTGATATAGAGTTATAGTTCAGGTACCGTGCAAGGTACAGTAATGGGAGTAAGACATCTAGAGAACCTAACTATCGAGGACGATGTCGGTAGTTCACCAGGTCTGTCCCGGGCAAAATATCGTAACGGACGATCACTGCACCTGGAACCAAAGTAACGCCATTCCCAATGGGGTATATGCGTCTATATAGTATCGGGATCGAAGATGGTCGGGAAGTGATGTGCGAACCTGCGACGGTTGAAGCAGACTCTTCAGGAATTTTCGGAGGGTAAAATGCGGGATGAAACGTTGCGCTCAGCTTGGGCCGGTGGGTCAGACGCTCTCATTCTTGTCCACGAACAAAGACTATTGAACAAAATTAGGTTGGTAGCTCAGGGCTAATTAATTTTAGTCAAGGGCTTGGGCTATTTAATCGGGAATCCATCGTTGTCTATCCACGGTACAGGTTAATTTCATGTCGGTCGGGTAAGAAAAAAAAAAGGCCGGTGAACTGATCGATGGATCGATTTCCGCTACTATTGGCTGATCTTAACAGGAGGCATTAGTTAAGGCTATCCAATACGGTTTAAGTAATCTTCACGATTGGCGCCAGTAAGATCCTACGTAGAGTACGGTGTATGTACCTAAGGTGGAAGCAATGACGGGGAATAAGGAGCGGGCATGATGTATTTCATTTAACTAACGTTTGTGACGTGCACTCCGTATGTTACTGATTGATGAGGATCACACTTAATAGTTATAAGTGCCAGTGTTATAGCGATGGGGTCGGTGGAGTGTCGCATCATTTACCTCTGCCACATGGCATGATGGAGGCATATCTTAATTTCACCCGTTATGATGTGTCGCCGGTGTAGAAGAGCCAAGATTTCCAACGGGATCTGGAATACCCGTTAGTTAGTACCAGGAGGGAATCCATTCCGACTCCCTCACCAGTATACATACGTACTCTGTACGGAGTATAGCACTACTACTACTAATCATCTGTATCTGGTACTAGTCGTCGGTACTGTGTTCCTCAGGATCTCAGAGATCCATGATCCTCTGTCCTCCTTACTAAGCCTGGCGGGCTGACCTTTATCCACCTTGTTTGGGTTGGACGCATGACACTAAAATCATATCTGCATCTAACTCTGACATACTATGTTAATTATATATTCGTGAAACTGAAAGGGTTGCATTGGATGCATCGACTCTGTGCCCAAGAACATGACGACATACCTTATGGAGGAATTCACGCTGACAGTTGTCGATGGCTGCGACTGCGGGATTCTATTCTTAGTATCGTTTCTGGGAGAAAGAAGGGTACCGATACCCAAAACATTATCCATCTTACCCACTGAGAAACGTTACGGTTCGGCTAATATTTTCGTCTAGTCTATCTCTAAAAAAAAACCACCCCAGAGGTACTTTGCAATGGACTGTTCAAGAGAAGAGAAAAGAAGTTTGGAATGCGAAAGACCCCATACTGTTCTGTTGATATATTTAGCAATTGGATACTACTTCGGTGTTGTTCCGTGGGTGAGAGAATGTCAACCCGTCCCTCGCTACGGGGGAGCTCCGGGACGACCTTCGGAAATGACCTAAGATGAACCCATTCACACCAAACAGAAGAGACATCAGATCCCCAATATACACACGCTAGTCGCAGAAACGGTTGCAACGAGAGGGAAAGGGGTCGTGCGGCGACTCCAAAGGTACCATCCACTGATCAGCAGAACGGTGTTCAGGCGTACCATTTGGCGACGCGAGACCGCAGCTCCAGAATTTCCATCTCGACTCCATTCAACGCTCCCCAACAAACGTGGTAAAAGAGACAGGATGGAGTCCTCGTACCGAGCAACTTATCGTTCGGAAAAAGACCCATATTTCAGCTCAAAGGGACTCAGCCAGCACCGCCCGGTCGAGAGACGATCCCAGGGCCTACCGATGCGAACGCACCTCTGAGTGGCTGGGTTTCTGTTATTTTTGGCGTCGATGGCTCTGATTGAGCCGTATGCGCAGGTGGGATGCTCGCTCACTGCAGATTGGGTACCTCTGGTGTAGATGAGAGCACGAGGTCGTCCTCTCATAAACCATCCTTGAGTTTTTTAGTCCTCCTAGAGACTCGCTAGTCTGTGTATATTGGGGTATGGTGTCTCGCGGCTACTCATGCGATTGAGCCTGCACTCACTCGTGTCACCTCCGATATGACCCCACGGTGAACTCCTTCAGCCGGCGCTTCGTTCAAAGGGGTGCGTTATCGTTGCAATAGGGCCTGCAGCTGTCGATCAGGGTTCTCTGCGAGACTGAATAGGCATGCTATCTCTCTACAGCTCGTCACCTGTCGGTCAATCCACGCCACGCCGTGATTGGGTCGGCCACGGTGCTGTAGAATCCCAGCCTGCGTGGCGCTAGAAATCAGGAATCAATGACCTCCTAGGGCCAAGAACCGGCCAAAAATGAGATCAGGCTAATGTCAGATTACAGACAATAGCTTCCATTATAGACTAGCATCGAATAGGGGTGCCCTGTCAGTCCTATACCAATCTCCACGCTGTTCAGGCAAAACGGACGTTCTAGAGCATAGCAGTTCTGAGGCCAGTCAACTCCGTGACTTCGGAGATGTATAATTGCTACTGTTGGGGCTTTTCCGATTGATTTAGGCCATCAGGTGGATTTGAATTTCAAGACATTTCCTGCTATATCACCTCCTAACAGCCCGATATGAATATTTCACTCAAATATACTGTAGGCAGAATGATACACATAAGTTCAATAGGGAATTTATGGCATCCGGAAGCATCTATTGAGAATATAGATATTCGTCCTCGTCAGAGGTGACGGTACTAGATCCTCACTCCGAAGACTTGGAACCAATTGATCCTCCAGTGTGCCCTAATGAGAATACATAGCATCTGTGTTTTAGCCTCTCGACCAGGACCAGAGTAATCTCCTCTTTCAATTAACGAGAAACATTTTAGATAAAATGTCTCACCCAGTGACTCTGAAGCCACAGAGCCGACCATGGATGAACCTCATTGGTGCAACTTCCGAAGCTCAAAACAGCCATCGAAACAAGTTGCAGTGGAAAATGAATGAATCAATGAATGAACGTCCGCCCGCTCTCAGATCATCAGAACATCTCCGATGTTTCTTTCACAGTCCGACCGTAGCATAAGGGAAACAATCTTGCCCAGAACTTGAACAGACCGATTCGACCGTGAGTCTCCTTTTGCGACATCAACCATCGAGCGAACGTGCACTCTGAACGAGTCCGATTCATGCTTCGAAAGCAGACAATCTACAGTCAGGTCAGATAGAGAGAAGACTGAAGACTAACAGTGGTTTTAAAGAATAGATCGCTCACCTCGTCATACCTTTGCAGGGCAAGGTAGTATTGCACCGAAAGGCCGAAATTCCTCCTCAACGTCTCCTTTTTGATCTTCCGCGCCGCAGTCCTATACATCAGAGTAACTTTCGGTTCATCCATGCCCTCATGAGAACTGGCAGTGATACCTCCCGGCATTTTCCACCCACTCCGCTTGTACACAACCTCGACAAGACGCGTAAGGATGTCGGCTTGCCATGTCATCAGAAGCTCCCCGTGAGAGGCTATGTGGCGTTGGACTCTCATGACGTCTAGCTCGAGCCCAACAAGATTGTTGTTTAGTTTTTGTGCTCTGCTTTCTAGCAGTTGATTGCTAGCATGTAATGCCTTCAGAGTAGCTGAGTATCTCCGGCAGGCGTTCGAGGTTAGTATGTCTGTGTTGCTTTCATCTAGGATGCCAATTGACCTCTTCGATCTCATCACAGTGAAATCGGCGATATCCCCGACTGACATGCCGGACGACCCCACAGGTATATTCATTCGTGCTGAAGGTTTTCTGTGAGCCAGATAAAAAGATAGGCCGGGTCCGTATAACTGCACGATATCGACACTCATCTCCGGGACCCCAGGACGCCGAAGCTTCGTGGATAAAATAATTAATGAATGGAGTGACACTTCCTTAAGATACGAAGGTACATGTGCCACAGGCTGTAATGATAGCGCTATAATGGCTGTTCTCTGAAAAGGTCTTACTACGGGGGTCCTACAGATAGGTCTATATAGCGACCTGATAGGATGAGTTCCAAGGAAAGCGCGACCCGACAGAATAGATCATATTAAAGGTAAGAGTACTCATGACTACAAAGGATACCTATTCCATCACTCGTTCTAGGCCCTTGTGGCTGCTATATACCAAGTTCATCAGCAATCACACAGTGCGCCTATTCCATCCCGACCGGGACAATGTATACATATCTCACTCTATACGATGAGATTCGCTAATGATTTAATTACCAAGTTAGATCCTTACAATTTGCTTCCCGAAGCCTTCCCGAATTCGACGACCAACTTCCCGAACTGCTTGCCTTCCTTCATATCCTGGAATAACCCGTCGAGCCCGGCGATATCACCCAGCTCGGTCTGCAGAACGCGTGAGATCACCGGGTGGATCTTGTTTGCTTTGACGAACTGAACCATCTCTTCGAATTCCTTGCGGGAACCCATAGTTGAGCCACGGACGTCAATGTTCTTCAAGACAGCTTGCATCAAGAAAGGCATCTTGGGAGAGACAGTCATTCCATAAACCGAGAGCACACCACCAGCCTGGGTATTGTCAGTGACATACAAAATGGATATAGTGCACAGATATCGAGAGGCTCACCTTGAGCAATTTGACCGCTTTCTCGACCGAATCGCCACCGGCGCCATCAATAATAGCATCGAAGGACTTCTTTCCCGGGGGAAGCATCGTAAGAAGCTTCTTCTCCCAGCCTTCTTCCTTGTAGCTCACGCCACCCTTTGCCCCTAGTTCGATTGCCTTCTGAATCTTCTCCTGGCTGGAGCTTGTCACGTAGACATCGGCGCCCTTGGCCACGGCGAACCGAAGTGCCATCAAGGCAACACCCCCTCCAATACCAGTAAGCAAAACCGCAGCACCCTTGCCCGAGTTTCTTTCGCCAGCCTTGACCACCAAGGCTCTCCATGCGGTCAACCCCGTCAAGGGCAGAGCAGCGGCCTCCGCATCGGACAAGTGCTCGGGGGCTTCTTCGACCTCGGACTCGTCGATGGTGAGGTACTCCTGCATCGTTCCCTTATTGTAGAGCTTGGTACCGCCCATGATCCGATAGCCCTTGGGGTCTTCCGGTCCATCAGGCGAGTCCTTCCAGCCCGTTCCCGGGTTCAGCATCACCCGCTTGCCCTGCCACCGCTCTGGGTTCGACACCGCGGGACCAGCACCGACGACCACGCCCACACCATCTGCCCCCAGAGGAACATCGAATGTGATACCGGGATAAAGATGCTGGCGCAGGAAGACGTCGCGATGGTTTAGCGACGCCGCGGTTATCTTCACCAGTAATTCGCGACCCTCCGGTGTCGGCTGGGGTAGGTTTTGAACGGAGAGGGGATAGTAAACCTGGCCTGGTTTACCCTCCGTTTGGGAGAGAAAGATTGCTTTTGACATTTTGAATGTGGATTTGCTTTGTTTATTATGCTCTACACGGTGGATTCGTCAGGGGGGTAATGGATGTCCTTAGATTTGCTGTTCGTCGGTGTTATGCAGCGGCGGTGCGGGGAATATATTTATTTATATAAGCTTGGGGTTGGGGTTATCGATAACCGATGACTGCCGGCTGTCCGATTACAATATCTTGTTTGCATAGAACCGTGCACAATCCGGAAGATCAGGGATTGAATCAGTCGATGGTTTTATATAGAGTTATATCTTGATTCAAATCACCTAGATCCTCGATCCGAAAGAAGCCGTGTTTCTGTTGGGTTCGTCTTCTGGCATCACTGCTCGGCGGGATTGAACCGAGGTTGAACATCCACAGCGATTCTGATGACTACGTCGATCATGTACCTGCTTTCCCTGTATAGTTTTATCGACAAGGAAAAACTGCCTAATATAGTGTAATGGGGACTTTACTGTAATGAACATATTGTGTCCGAGATTCGCAGAAGATTGCATCTACATACTAAATAAAAGCCTGTCAATTATGCATGGGCCAAGCTCCAGGTCTTCTATGCCTATACAACTACATATAAAGCATTAAGTGAATATAAGGTTGTATAACATTTCGACCCAGAACAAAACTACAATGATCACAAGACTAAATCAATTACATTATGATACACCAAGTCTTTGTTCAAGGGAGATGCGTGGCGATAAAGGATCCATCTATACACCCACTGTTTGGAAGAACTCTCCTTTGGACGGTTCACGAGGGACTGTAGTTCTCCACCAGCGAACACCGAGTTTATTACTTCTGGCTCAATGTAAATGGGAGATCTTATACTCATTCGAGACCCTTATTTGTCGTCTTCATTCCCCTGATCTCCAATACATAAGAAGAGTGCAGAAAAGATCTCCGGATCCTCCATACCAAGCATGACCCAAGATTCGATATCAAGTCACATGCAGCCCGGTATGCCAGTTAGCCAACATGAGCCACGAAAACGGCCCCAAGCAAATGAAACCCCCTGGCTAGAACGGTCCTCTGTCAGGAGAGAACACCCCCGGTGGCGTGGCACAAGAGCCACATAAAAATAAAATAAATAAATAATTTAAAAAAAGAAAGCTGGATGAAAACGCGACGGATGTTATCCAGGGAGGCTGATCTGCGGAGGTTGGGGGGAACCAAACATGAAGCAACGGTATGTGGGAATGGAAACACTCCAAGTCGATAACGTCACTTCCCGTTCATGACCTTCCCAGTGTGTAGCAATGGAATTGTACTGTGTAATTTGATCGGGAGGATTTGTCATCGGACAAACATTGTGAGTTCGTTCAGAATTAGTTCTTTATTGGTTTTTTTTATTTACTCTCTCAATGGATGGATCATTTTGTGGTTGTATTTTTGTTTTATATTTTGTTTTATATAATTTGATGTGATTTGGATTCGTTTTTCTAAAAATACCGGGTGGTGGGCGTAAGTTGAAATGACACGCCGAATTGAAGGGCAACCGAAGCGTTTGCGGCCAAACCACCATTGACGACACCCGCGTGGCACTAACCCATGTAGGTTGGTCTGGGGTGCTGTGACCACGCACCCTCCCCCGGAGAGAAAAAAAGAATAGACGGGGATGATACCAAATCATGGCGGAGGGATTGGCAATGCGGCCAACGGGGAACTATAGATGATCTGGAAGGGAAATGCTAGGAGAGGATTCTGAAACCTTTGCCTTTCGTTTGTCCTGTTTCTCTCGACCCGGATAGGCACTCCCCAACAGACATATAAGAGTATCGCGGTGATTGTGTGGGTTTTTTTTGTGTATTTTTTTTTTGTTGTGTGCGGGTACATGGGCAGTTCTGGTAATGATGCGGTAACTTTGGGGGTGGCTGGCGAAGGGAAAAGATGGCTAAGCAGCTATGGACAACTGTTAGGATACCGGACCGTACCAACTAGACTCAATTGGGAGACAGCCGTCTGCGTGGTAATTCCACGACCCCTTGCTAATTCGCCGCAAGCCTCTTTCATTTTTCAGGAACTCGTCGAAACTCGATCTTCTGATCTCGACTTGGATCTGTCTAGCGTTCTTGCTTGTTGGCCTGTCCTCAATTCTCCCCTTTGCTACGAGAAAGCAAACTGCTCGAAAGTCGAACCAAATTCAAAGCTGCCGGTGCGTTTGCGTGCCGCCCGTCATTCACTGTGGCCCATTTTCCCTCGCTCTAAAAACCCATAGCTGATCTTCTTCCCCCCCGACTTACTAGCTCTATCGTCTCTTGCGTCGTTCCACCTCAAACGTTCGCATCTCCTCCTTCCCTCACACGTTCCATCCACCACCAAAAGAACTACAACGCTCGACTTGGATACTTCTCCTGCTTTGGGTTCGGAAGTCTTTCTCCATCACCCAGCGATCCATCTCATAATGCCTACGCCACTTCCTTCTAGTTTTGCTTCGGCCGCTGCTGGCAACACTGATGCCTCTCGAAGAGGCGATGGAACTGCCAGTGGAGAATGGTATGGAAAAAAACACACACACACACACCTACACCTTGCTATCCCGCCCTTTTCGTGACCTCTATCCCTTCCCTACCAGTCGGAGATGTCACGCTGCCTGCTCTCGTTCCTTTCAGCGGCGTGTGATCGCCTCCCCTCCCTCGTTGGATCGTGATTGAACTCGACCACTCCTAACGCGAATCCCAGGGCTCGAAACCGCATGAACGGAGCAACACAAACCTTCCGCCGCCCGTCAGTTGCGACTAACCCTTCCCACAGCCGGGATACCAGCCAGCCCGCATCCGCTACGACTCCTACGGCCGGTACCTACACTCCCCCACATATGCTTTCGAATTACCAGTCTAGCGCACTCCGCAACGGGGCAACCAATGACACTCGGTATTCCAAAGAACAGCTGTTAGAACTTTATAAGGCTCAACGGGAGACGGGTATTTTGGGTAAGAACCTCGCAGAATATCTCGCCGCCGACTGGAATCCACAGGTAGAGACACCCGCCGCCAACGGCGCCTGGGGCAGGCGGGAGGATTCGAAAGACAATCCCTCTGGGCCTGGGGTGTGTTGGGATCACGGAGGACAGATGGAACCTTTGAGCCTAGTGGACATGACTGATGATGAGAAAGAGGTGCGTGTCTTTGTTTACCTTTTCCTGTTTGCGAAATGGCTGTCGTGCCCTTGTTTGGGACGAGCTGTGCTGAACGGGCGTAGTTATTTTCCCTCTCAGTGAACTCCCCACTGAAGCCGCCACCCACCAATGTACCCAAGGAGAACACGGGCGCTACTCCGGGAGGACGCAAGGGATCGATTTCTCAGGGTCATATGAACAACTACAACACCTCGTCCCCGAGTGCAAATCGCCCTGGGCCTAGGCGTCGGGAGACCGGCGATTCGATCGGCAACCCTATGTCTCCTACCACGGGCGGTTCTCGATTCTTCCGTGAAGAGCCGAACACTGCTACCCCACCCCCGTCTCTCCTACGTCGCAAAACAGATTTTCGGGATACGTCGTCCACCGCTCGGTGGGAGGAGAAAGAGAAGGAATCTGCTCGGGACGTGACCTCGGAGGCCTCCTCTCCGTTTAATTCCCTGAAACGCAGCTCGACTAATCCTCTGAGTGCAGCGCCGGGGGCAACAAGTTCGCCGTGGGGCTCGGCTTCGCAAAATGCCAGCTTCTCGCCAATGGGGGCCTTCGGAGCGTTCTCTCTCGGCACAAACCCCACGGAGAAAAAACCAGGCTTTGGTAGTCTTCGCGGGGAGAGTCGCCTGAAGGGCCTCTTTTCGAAGGATAGCTCGGAGGATATATCGGCTGCGGTGAAGGACAAGCCGTCCATGAGCAATCTGGAACGCTTGGCAGGTGAGGGTGAGCAGCGCTCGCAGTCGCCTTGGGGGGAAACTCTCAAAACCCGCACCGGACGGAGTGAGACGAACCCCTTTCAGGAGGAACCGCGGAGCGGGAGTGCTGCACTCGGGGGATCTCAGGAACTTCCATCTCAGGGTGCCGACCCGACCGGATTCGCCGCGTTTGGAATGACCTCCAGTATCCCCGGCTTTCGAGAGCTGATCCAGAGCCACGAGAACTCGCGTAATCCCACCCCAAGTTTACTCCAGGGTCATGAGCCCACCAGCCCAACCAATACGAACCCGTATCAAAGCCCCCATGGTGACAGAGGTGACGTCGATGATGTCGAGACTGACGGCTCTGATATCCAAACCTCGCACCATCCTGGCCTCACTGGACTGCGTGACACGACTGCGTTTGGCTCGATCAGACGAGTCGGGTCGGGCATGGACTTGCCTTCGATCGATCGGAGCGCGACTTCTAGCGTTGCCGGAAACCGCAGCTTCTCCAGCTTGGGTGGTTTGGGTGGCCTTCCCTCCATTGGAGGGGCGGCCGGATGGCCTGCAAGCGGTGCCATTGGCACTCCAACCAGGGAACGATCTGCTTTTGGCGGCGGCGGCGCCTTTGGCGATCCCATCTTTGGCACGATGGCTGATCTCCAGTCCCCTATCTGTCGACCCTGGGAGGAGGCGGTCTCTTCAGCCCTGGCATCAGTGGCACCGGCAGCATCGGGCGTTCTAGCAAGCTAGGGTCTCTCTTCCCTGCTGCGATGCAGGAGCAGATGCAAGGCGATCAAGCACGGGCTGATCTTGGCAGCCTGGACGATGGTTCCCGGCAACCAGGTATGATCTTCCACAGGCCAACCGTACCACATGATTTACTAACAACCCACGGTGAAGATCCCCAGCAGGCAGACAAGTCTGGTCAAACCAACCCACCTACCACCACGTCTGATTCCCAGACTCCTGTCTCTGCCGTTGGCTCCATCCCCACCTCCATGGCTCCTGACGTACCTCAGCCTAGTCAGACTCCCGGACAACCTGGAAGCAATGCCGGCTCCGTTCCTCCTGCCCAACAGCGTACTATGGTGATGCCCGATCGTATGCGCTGGATTTACCGCGACCCACAGGGGAACATTCAGGGTCCTTGGACGGGCCTTGAAATGCACGATTGGTTCAAGGCAGGCTTTTTCAGCCCGGACCTGCAGATCAAGAAGCTCGAGGACCCAGAATTTGAACCGCTGGCTCAGTTGGTGCGGCGCATCGGCAATTCGCGCGAGCCCTTCTTGGTTCCCCAGATCGGTATCCCTCATGGACCCGATCCTAACCCTGGTCACTGGACAGGAAACACGGCGGGTGCTGCTCAGCCTCCCTTTCCTGGCAGCTTCCCCAGCTTTGGTACTACTTTGACCGCCGAACAGCAGAATGCCCTGGAGCGTAGAAAGCAAGAGGAGCAGTACCTGATGGCCAGACAGAAGGAACATCTCGCACAGCAACAGGCCATGATGAAGCAAATGCAATTCCAGGGGCTCCCCCCCACTATGCACCCCCATCAGCTCCAGCATCATTCGAGCGCCCACAGCCTTCACAGCCAGCCAAGTTTCGGTAGCATTGCTTCGCCTGTTGGTTTCCAACCATCGCCTATTCAGGGTCCCGTCCAGCAGCAGCAGCAGCAGCAGCAGTCGCAGCCGCAGCCGCAGCCTCTTGGTGGCTTCTTCGACGCCGCCGGTCCGATACGGCAGAGCGTCCTGCCCAACGTTGGTCCTCAGATGCTTGGGACAGACCTAGGCGCAGTCAGGATCAGCTCCCGGCCCTTCTTGAGCGTTTGAACGTCAACCGACCGGATCCGTTCGCCTTTGGCAGCGCAGCGCCCTTTGCCACTCGACAGCCGGACAACTTGTTCCATCAACAGCAGGTTGCCACCATGCTCCAAGATCGGGCTCAGCTGCAACAGGAGCAAGAACAATTTGACAGCGCTCAGGGCGACAGCTTGTTCGACCAACAGGCTCGTGAGGAACGGCTCCGCCAGTTCCATGCTTTGAGGGCACAGGAAGATGAATTCGGCATGCGCACTGCTGAGGGGCTTCCAACCCATCCAACTACTGGTCCTTCTCCCCCGCCCGAAGCCGAGTCTGTCCAGGATGTTAACCTCGACTCCCCCACGTTGGAAGTAGAGCAACCTATTGTAGAAGACGAAGAACCGGTTCTCACTCTTTCCCAGCAGGTTCAGAAGGCCGCATCCGCTCAGAGACAGCAGCAGGAGCAGCAGGAGCACGAACAGCAGCAGGTCCAGGCTGCGAATGACGCTGCATGGGCCGTCAAGGGTGATCCAGCCATGCCCCAGCCGTTCCCTCCCCCACCTTCCGCATCGCCGCTCCCAGCCCCCGCTGCACAGCGCAGCCGCCAGAACGTTGCGGAATCGCTCGCCGCAAACTCGAGATCTCAGACTCAGACTCCGGTGGAAGCCCCTGCCACGTCCATTGCCCCATGGGCCAAGGAGGCGCATGAGATGCCCAAGGGACCGTCGCTGAAGGAGATTCAAGAGGCCGAGGCTCGTAGCGCTGCTCAGAGAGAAGAACTGGCTGCCGCTGCTCGTCGGGCTCAACTTCTCGCCGAACAAGAGCGTCTTAGCCAGGCTCAAGTCCAGACTCCTGGTCTCCCATCGACTGCCAACTGGGCGAGTGGCGGATCTCCGTCTACTCCTGTGTCCGCCGGGTCGGTGTGGGGTACCAACAAGGCCCCGGCCACTGCTACCGGCGGTGCTAAGAAGACCCTCGCGCAGATTCAGAAAGAGGAGGAGGCTCGTAAGCAGCGTGCCGCTGCCGCCGCCGCCGCCGTCGCTGCTCAGAGTGCAGTTGCAGTAGCGCCCAGTCCCCCGGCTCCTTCTTCTACTGGAAAGCGGTATGCAGATCTGGCTAGCAAGGCTCCTGCTCCTGCTACTCCTACTACTCCCGTTACCACGGGTGCTTGGACCACCGTTGGTGCCGGCGGTAAGGCCAGAGCTCCCCCCGCCGCTCCTTCCGGACCGCGATCGGCCACCGCAACGACTCCCTTGGCGGCCTCTCCTGTGAAGCCCAAGCCCGCTACCATTTCCACCCCGCGTGCCGTCACTGTGAACACCGTGACCCCGGCCAACCCTAACCGCGCAGTCGAGGAGTTCACTAAATGGGCCAAGCTGGCACTGGGCAAGGGGTTGAACAGCAACATCAATGGTATGTCTTTCGTAAATTAGCCTCGGTCTTGCTGAAAACAGCACTAACGTTTATTTAGTGGATGACTTTGTTCAGCAGCTGCTATTCCTGCCCGCCGAAGCGGAGATCATCTCGGACTCGGTGTATGCTAATTCGCAGACGCTGGATGGCCGCCGGTTCGCCGAGGAGTTCATCCGTCGTCGTACCTTGGCCGACAAGGGCATCGTGGACCCCGTCGCAGCGAGTGCATTCGCGGAGAAGAGCAGCGGTGGATGGAGTGAGGTGGCCAAGAAGGGATCGTCGAATGCCCACCGTGAAGAGGACAGCAGCAATGCCGCGTTCAAGGTTGTTGCTCCCCGTAAGAAGGGCAAGCGGTAAATGACTGTGCATAGTGGCATAACTCCCGCATCTTGTGAATATTTCGGAGAGCTGTACTAGTAGTTTTGCATTCCAGCATGATTGGTGATTTAAGAATGGCGATGAGTTCCATGCTTACGTTGGCTTCGTAGGATGTCCCGTAGCTCGAGCCTTGTATGAATAACTCCAGGGATTGATTTGGCACTACTGCAGCGAGGCCAACACGGTCCGAGGTGGATTTGCCCACTGATTGGCTTGAATCGTATCGGGCGACTTTTAGTTGCGTCCACTGATCCAGGCCACCGTCTGGATCGTCTGCCTTTTATCTTCTCTCTCGCTATCGGACAGACAGGATGGATCAGATCCGATCCACCCGCACCAGACGTTCCACCAAAAGAGTTCGGACTGGATGTCGGACCTGCCGGTAAATATTCTGGCGAGATCGCTTCCCTCAAAACTAGGAGCATACTAAATTGCGTCGCAGAACTCGCCGAGTGAAATGTGACGAAACACCAGGAGCATGCCGGAACTGCACGTCCACCGGCCGGAGCTGCGAGGGATACGACCTGTATCGCCTGCCCATCCAGCGCCAGGGAGACGGTCTCCCCCGCCCGCTGAGTGGACGGACTGCGGTGATGACCTCAGACGACCGGCGATGTTATTCCTACTTTCAATTTCACGTCGCCCCCGAGATCGCCTCGTTTACGCCGCTTCTCTGGCGCAAGGTAGTGCTCCAGATGAGCGAGGCTGAGCCCGCGGTTCGCCATGCGGTCATCGGGCTGAGTGCGATCAGTCAGAGTGTCTCCGCAGCTTGCACGGCCAAGCAGCATGCCATCAGCCAGAGTGCCTCAGCAGCCTACACGGCCAAGCAGCATGCCATCAGCCTGAAGCACGATCCGTGGCGCCAGTTTGGCCTGGAGCAATTGGGACGGTCCTTTGCAATGCTGAGCCGTCGACATGCCTCTCACGATCCCCAGCTGGTCCAGGTCATCCTGCTGTGCTGCCTTCTCTTTATCGTCTGCGACCTCCTACAAGGCCAATACCACCTCGCCTTTCGCCATCTGCAGAACGGCATCCAGATCTTGAGCGAACTGGGGTATGGCCGGGTAGTGATACCACAGGTCTTGGTCGAGCCGGAGATCGTGGCAGCCTTCCAGCAACTCGAGACCCAAAGCACCCTATTCCGCGCCCAGCAGCCCATCCTCTGGCTGCCCCCGGAGAAGACGGCAACCCATCACCCATCGAGCAAGCGTTCCCGCCAGGACTTCCAACTGACCTTTGAATCGTTACGGAGTGCCGTGTTCAAGCTCACAACGGACCTGATTTTCTTACCAGACGGGCAACCAGCCACACAATACGAAGCGGAATATTCCACGCTTCTCGAGCGCGGGCATCAATTTCTGCAGGAGGTCGACTCCCACTACGGGCGCGTGTATCCCCAACTCAGTCGGGAGGAGAAGAAACGCGCCGACTTGATGAGAATCCATACGTCCGGGAAAGGCCTGGTTCTGAAATGCTGTTTTCCCACTGGGACGCTTGAGCCGCATGCCGAGCATTTCCGGGCCCATCTTTCTCGGATCGAGACGTTTCTGTGTCGATTTCCTGAGCGCCCGGAGATCACTATGGATGAGGCCGTGCTTCCGGGTCTGGTTCTGGTGGCGTTTGGGGCTCCGGATGTCGATGTGCGGTGGAGAGCCATCGACGTGCTGCTGGCGTGGCCCCATCTGGAAGGGCCGTGGGACTCGAGGGCCATTGCACGAAGGGCGATCGAGAACACGCCGGAATATGTGCCGGGTTGTGTGGAGATTGCCCCGGCGAGGAGGCCGATCCCGCAGCGACAGTTCTTGACGATCCTCCAGGACTACTTTCATGAGATCGGCGGGGTGACGTCCGGCGGGACTTGATCGGAACAGTCCCTCTCGAGACGATTCGCACCGCTTTGCCCTATTTTAGTAGATCAAGATAGAACTATACCTATAGACAGTCAACCCAGAAGTTGCGCAACACCTGAATTACCAGGGGAGTTGATCCTTCCTCACCAAACCAGCTCGTCGCCGCTGTCCGCTAAATTTCGCGCTGATCGGACAGGGAATCGAGAGGACGTTTGGATTCCGAACACGAAGCCCTGACTGCTTCCTCCAACGCATTGCAGAATCAGATCTTCGGATTCCACTTCTCGTATCGCTATCCCGGATGTATACTACTAGTAGTAGCCACCCAGGTGCCATCCACGCTAGCAGGATACATAGAATCCGATAGGACGCCCTTCCCAGCCTGGATTCTCCGTCTCCGCTCCGTAGCCAACGTGACTCACTGGACATCTCGAACTCTTAGTCGATTATATAAACACAGTCTGGACCATCACTCGAACCAAACCATCTCAGTATCACTTAAACTAATCTAACACAAGTTCCTCCCGCCAAAATGACAACCCCCTTCGGCCACCCCATGAGGGAGCACTTCCTCTTCGACGCCAACTTCAAGAACCTCAACCATGGTATGTATAGGAGGACTAGTCCTAACCCCTAAAGTCATAAGGAATAGGAACAACAACCCCCAAAACTAACGCACCCCCACAGGCTCCTTCGGCACATACCCCCGCGCCGTGCAGACCGCGCTGCACGAACACCAACACGCCAGCGAGGCGCGCCCAGACCACTTCTACCGGATCGCGCGGGCGCAAGGCATAGACGCATCACGACGCATGGTCGCCGAGCTGCTCAACATCCCCGTGAACGAGTGCGTGTTCGTCAAGAACGCCACGACGGGCGTGGGCACCGTGCTCCGTAACCTGGCCTTCCAGACCGGCGACGCCGTCGTCTACTTCGACACCATCTACGGGGCCGTGGAGAAGGGGCTGCACTCGCTGATGGAGTCGAGTCCCGTGGCCGCCCGCAAGGTCGAGTACGAGCTGCCGATCCGCCACGAGGAACTGGTGCGACGGTTCCGGGACGTGGTGCGTCGGGCGCGCGACGAGGGGTTGAACGTCCGCGTTGCGGTCTTCGATACCATCGTCAGCATGCCGGGCGTGCGCTTCCCCTTCGAGGCCTTGGTCCGTGTGTGTCGTGAGGAGCATATCCTCAGTCTCGTGGATGGCGCGCATGGCATCGGCCATATCCCGTTGGATTTGGGCGCGTTGCAGCCGGATTTCTTTACGAGTAATTTGCATAAGTGGGTTGATCTTTTCCTCCTCCTCCTCCTCCTCCTCCTCCTCGTTGTCGTCGTTCTTTTATTTCTGTTTCTTCTATTTCTTGAGTTTGATTGATTACTGGAGATTGGCTACTGGGGATGGACTACTCGGGATGGACTACTTGGGATGGACTACTTGGGATGGACTACTTGGGATGGACTACTTGGGATGGACTACTTGGGATGGGCGATTGGGGATTGATGCTGACATCGATATAAAATACAGATGGCTGTTTGTCCCCCGCGGCTGTGCAGTCCTGCACGTCCCCCTGCGCAACCAACATCTGATCCGGACCACCTTACCCACGTCCTGGGGCTACATCCCCCCAGGCCAGGTCACCACCACCACCACCACACAGGGTAAATCTGCCTTCGAATATCTCTTCGAACACGTCGCCACGACGGACGACACACCGTGGCTGTGCGTGCCGGCCGCGCTGCAGTTCCGGAGGGAGGTCTGCGGCGGTGAAGACCGCATCTACGCGTACCTGGAGGCACTGGGGCGGTCAGCCGCAGATATTGTAGCGCGTGCGCTGGGGACGGAGGTGATGCAGGAACCGGGGCTGCAGGAGGGCGAGGTAAGCCAGCTGCGGAGGTGTGGATTGAGTACGGTGCGGTTGCCGATTGCCGTGGCGGCTGGTGATGCTGCGAATGCGACTGCGGTGACGAGGGTGTCGGCGGGCGAGGATGGCACGTCGTATCTCCGGATTCACTCGTCGCTGGTCTCGACGGTGGGTACGTGGTTTCGGGATACGCTGTTCGATCAGTATAACACGTTTGTGCCGGTGTTTCAGCATGGTGGGTGGCTGTGGACGAGACTCAGTGCGCAGGTGTATCTGGAGGAGAGCGATTTCGAGTGGTTGGCGGGCGTGTTGAAGGAGTGTTGTGAGAGGGTTGAGACGGAGGCTGGGCTGTCGGCGAAGCTTTGAGATTTTATGTTATTTTAGTTATTTATTACTTACTTGGATGCTGCTGGTACTTGTCAATTGTGACTTTGCAATATCATATAATTCATGTACCCCGATACAACTACACTATTCCTATATGCTAACCTATATACAACACCACGCCCACATATGTACAGACAATACACCTATAACCAGCCTATTCCCTCCTCCACACCCGCCTCCCATCAAACCACGTCTCCCACACCTCCGCCTCCAACAACCGCTCCGCCTCCCAAGCCATATCAACAACCACGAAATCCGCCTTCTTGCCCACCTCCAGCGTTCCCGCGAACCCATCCGCAAAGCAGCTGTACGCCGACCCCCCGGTAGCAGCCGTAATAGCCTCCAACAACCCCAGACTGAAATGCTCATTCACCGTCTCCAGCGACTCAGGCTCCCTGGCCGAGCGCCGCGTCGTGGCCGTGTACAGATTCCTGAGCGGCAAATGCGGCGCGGTGGGCGAGTCCGTGCCAATAGCCAGATGCGCGCCGTGGTCCAAGAAATCCCGGTAGGCGAACGCGCGGCCACACCTGTCCGGGCCCAGCAGGCGCGGCCAGGCGCGCAGGATAGCCGGGTCGGCATGCACGGGCTGCACGGAGGCGGTGATGCCCAGGTCGGCGAGGCGCTTTGCGTCCTGCGGGGCCGTGAGCTCGAGGTGTTCGATGCGATGGCGGGAGCCGGGCGTGCCCTCGCTCTCCAGGCGTCGATGGCCAGCGTCACCGTGGCGTCGCCGATAGCGTGCAGTGCGCATTGCAGGCCCGCGCGGTCCGCCTTCCGCACCACCTTCTTGAGCATCTCGGCGTCCCAGAGCGGGGCGCAGTTGTCCCCGTTCGACGCGTAGGGCTCGGTCAGGGCTGCCGTGCAGGCATCCACGACCCCGTCGCAGATGACCTTGATGCCGGCGATCCGCAAATCGGGACTCGTGGCGGCGTTGTACAGGCTATGGAGCTCGATCGCCCGATCAACCTGGCGCAGCACCTCTTCTTCGTCGTCCTTCGGGGAGATGATCCAGTGCGCTGCCAGCCGGATGTTGACCTCCTCCCGTTCGCGGAGGGCGAGGACCGTGCTCCACAGGTTCTCGTCCGTGGCCATCTCCACGACGCCCGTGTACCCGGCGCGCGTGTACTCGCGGATGCCGGCGCGGATGAAGTTCAGCTTCTCGTCGAGAGAGGCAACCTTGGCGACGTGCGGCCAGACGATGTTCACAGCTGCGGCTTCGCTGAGGAGGCCGGTGGGGTTGCCTGCGGCGTCGCGGTGGATGACGCCGCCGGCGGGGTCGGGGGGTGTTGGCGACGTTGAGCTCGCTGAGGGCGGCGGAGTTGCACCAGGCGGAGTGCAGGTCCTTGGAGTCAATGAAGATGGGGCGCGGGTCGAGGTCGTCGAGCATGGCGGCCAGGCTTCGCCGTTGGTCATAGAGTGCATCCACCCGCGGCAGAAGAGCCGGGCGCCGTCGGGTTGGCGGCGGCGGCGGCTTTGATGGTACTGCGGATGTCGGAGAGGGAAGTGCAGTTCCCTAGGTTGATTTTGGAGAGGCCTGCGCCGAAGAGGAGCAGGTGCATGTGTCTGGTTTTCTTTGGTTTAGTCTCTGGTATGGTTGTAGCATTGGGATTGGGGGTTGCGATTAGGGTTTGGGATGGAAGTGTTTGTCTGTACATACCCGTCAATAAAGCCGGGGAGGACTTTACGGCCTTCTAGATCGTGGATCTCGCTGTCTGGGTGGAGGGTCGCTGCGGTGGATTCCTCGCCCAGGTAGATTATGCGGTCGTTCTCGGTGACCATGCATGTTGGGTTGGGGGACTGGGGAGTGATGAAGTGGGCGTTTTTGTAGAGGGTTTTCATGGCGAGGGCTGATTGTCGGATTGCGGTATCGGAATTGGCCAGGAGGAGGGAAAGCGGGAAAGAAAGAGAGAAGGAAAGAAGGAAAGAAAGAAAGAAAGAAAGAAGAAAAGAAAGAGAGAAAGAGCGCGAGGTTATATGAGGGGTAAAAGACGTGAGGATCTTATCTCTGGTAGGGCGCGATTAGGGCGCGCATGGCATGTGGGGTATTTATCAATCTAGGTGGAGATCATGCTTCAAATCAACTTAGATCTAGGTATGTGTCCGCCCAACGGGATAACCAAAAGAAACGGTTCATTACTGCGTAACACTTCCAGAGTGACTTGTGTATGTCCATTCCATCCATTGTCCAATTTACCATGGATCCCAGCTCTATATCACTTCCTGTAGCTGGAGCAAACAAAAGCAAAAGAACATGAACGGCGTCGCTTCGTGAACGGCCTACGGGTTGCCTCCTCCGAAATGGCTTCGAACCCAGCCGGCGAAGCCTCCTCCTTGATTGTCATTCCGACTGGAGCGCCCTTGATCTGGTTCTTGTCCTGTCTCGGGTCCAGTCCCGAACCACTGGGGCGGCGACTGACCGCTATGCTCGCGAGCCGCGCCACTCGGCCGACGGGGTGACGTCTCCGGACTGCTGTTGATGACTACCGGGTTATCGCTGCTTCCTTCGGGTCTAGAGGGCGCAATCAGTGACGGAAGCGGACACGAGCGGGATCGAAAACTTACGCTGCCGGAATGTTGATGCCTCGCCGGCAGTGGGGACATGTATTGTGTTGGCTCAGCCACATCTCAATACAGTTGTAGTGGAACCAGTGCTTGCAGGGTAGTACGGTGACCTCCGTGCCTAATTCCACCGGGTCCATGCAAATCGAACATTCCGCCTTGCCTTCGCTGCCCAGCATCTCCTGGTCCACTTTCTTCTTCGGCAGAGACTGGATCGCACTGGGAGCAGCGGGTGGTGGCGCCGTCCCCCGTGCATTCTGATCAATCAGCTGTGATATTACCCGATCTAGTTCTTCTTGCGAGTAGACCGCATCACCATTCCGATCCAAGTTGAGCAACGTCGACAAAATCGCAATGGGATTCGGTCCGGTCATGACACGGACGCCGGGGCCACCGCCTGGTGAGCCGTTGCTTCCAAAATCGTTTCGGAATAGCTCAAGAATACTACACAGGTCAGCCACCAGTTATAGCTCGCTACCCTCACGGGAGAGAACATACTCGCCCAGAGTTCGTAGAGGAGTACCCATAGGCTGTGGACTATCTGCATCACGAGGATGTAGCCCCCCTGCCGTATGGAACTCGGACCCCATGCCCCCATTGCTCCGCGTGTCCATGTCGAAATCAAACGACGTGCTGTATATCCTCGAGTCATTTGGGCTGAACCTGTAGTTCTGTCTGTCGCTCCTCCACGGCCCCGGTGGTGAATCTCGCTCATTCGGTTGCCTGTACTCCGTCTGCCGGTAGGTGTCGGCCAACCCATGGAAAATAGTGTCCAATCCGCGGACCATAGGCATTAGCGGATCCGCCGGCATTTGCTGACCAGACGAACCACGCCGTGTGTATGTAGTGCTGGAAAAAGTAAACCGGCCATCCGGAGACCTGTAGGTGTGGTGACGGAATCCATTGCCCGAGCCCCAGTCGGCGGTGTCTCTGTTCAAATCGTCATGATCCCAGGGGTTGTGGTCTGCCCATGGGTTTCTTGGGGGAGCTGGCCGGGCTTCGGGGACAGATGTTGGAGGGTCGGGGACTTCTTCCGTATCTGGCGGGATTTCGATCTGGCCCGTCAGCATGTCCAAACCAAGCATTGTATAGCATGAAAAGAGGGAGAAGGAAGGATGACACACAATTTCGGTGAACTCAGAATGACAATGTGGGCATTCCAGCCCATGATCTCTGCGTAGCCATACCCTGCCACAGGCATGACAAAACATGCGATCCCCCACATCGGCCATGATGGATGCGTCAAAGATAGAAAGGTAGGTTGTCGGAGTGAAGATCAGGAGGTGAGACGGCGGTCAACAAGACGGTATTCAGATATAGTATCACTAGGCAGACGGAATCGATTGATTGTACCAGAATGTCAGCTGTCGGACAATTGTACGGTACTAGTAGTAGTAGTTGAAGAGTCGCAATGCTTTCAGTCGAACTGCAACGTCACTCATTGTTTCGGGGCTACCATGCACGAGTTGCAGGCCAGATCAGTTGATCTGTTTGTTGACTAGCTTCAAGACCGCATTATAAGGTGAGGCGATGGTTTAGAGTCGGGTTGAAGTTGGTGGAGAACGAAAGAGAATAAATGATTGGGGAGCGTCGGACTTGTCAGGCGGATGACGTTTACCCTTGTCAAGTGACTTCTGTATTGTAATGGTTTCTTGATTTTATTCCCTTCCCTTCCCTTCCCTTCGATTATCATTATAGAAAACAACAACAAAGATAGCAATATGTTGCCGGCCATTCAAAGAGTCATGTAATGATCACAAAAGCCAGCATGACCATGGACAATACAACGCCATCGCATGCGAAACATCCCACGAATAAAAGAGCAACAACAAAGAGCTACCATATATACACAGCGTAGATTCCCGACTTCCCTGAGGGACAAAGCCATTCACCACGAGAAGTCTCCCCATTACCGTCTCTTAGCGCCCCGGAATACCATGCCTCCCACCACTCCGGCGGCGAGAGCAAGTCCACCCACGATCGCAAAACCCAACAGCCCTTCCTTAGACACTCTCTCGTCGATCAGGGTACCGAGGCTGGCGGCCTGAAGGTTGGCGGGTTCCTTTTCGAGCAGAAGATCGTTGTATCGTCGGGCTTCGCCGTAGTTCCCAAGCTTGTAGTTACCGAGGGCCAGATAGTAGAGGCATTCCCGTCGACGTTCGGGAGCAGCGCGGAAGATCTCTGATAGCAAACGAACTCCTTCCTGTTGCTCCGTTCGTGCGTTGGATTTGATCAGGCCCTAGATACAAACTATCAGTCAGTGGACATGAATATACGAAGACAGAGCCGAGGCTAGCTAGGACTTACCCAGGCAAAGTTGAACTTGGTTTGAATACCGACATAGTCACCTTCCTTTTCGTACTGTGACCGCAGGACCTGGAGCTCCGCTGGCTTGAGCGGGCTGCAATATGTTAGCGGGAATCACCATGAACAAGGAGCGGCGACCGATCACCAACCTTTCAGCATCGGCGGCATCTGCAGAACCACCAGTCAGTAAGTAAACCAAAACAATAGCACGGGTAGGGCCGTGAACGTACAGGGCAGGTTGGAACCCATGTTTTCAGATCGATAGCCTTTCACGAACTGTAAAACTAAACGAATAAATAAGGAAGAGTGAAATCTGAAGCAACCTTCCGTCTGTATTGACGACGATAGGCCCTCCAAATCCAAGCGCATGAATCTGACCTTCCGTCACGGGTGGCGGTGCAAGTGGCGTGGAGTGGCTGACCCAGCTAGTTGCTCCCCCAACGCCGCATATCAACATTTATCATCCTGTCACGATCAACCCCACGCATATATCGATCCAGGCCCACTACAAGCCTTTTTTTTTATTGCCGACAAAGTCAACTAAAGCAGCCACAATGTTGTTCGATGAGAACCCCGGCACGGTATGTGTTTCAAAATCAGTTTTGGGACCGGGCCACTGACGCGTTGCAGCTCATCCACCACACCATTGGAAACTTCAACATCCAACCAGACAAACAAGCCGTCACCCGCATCAATGACTCCTTATCTACCCTTCAGCAATCGCGCGAGCTGCGTATGCGCGAGGCCGAGTCCTCGCTGCGAAAGCTCTCTCGGCATCTCCACTCCATGAACGCCCAGCATGAGGAAGCGATAGCGGCACATGATTCGAGTAAACACGCGGCGGATATGGTTGAACTGGACACAAAGAAATTCCGTATCGCAAAAGCAGCCACGGAGCTCGAAATCGAAAGTGAGAGACTGGAGAGTGAGCTGGAGATGCTGAAGGAACGCTTGGCGGATTTGGAGGCTCAGGGTTTGGAAGGAGACGAAGCCACGAGACGGGAGAGGGAGCTCGACGATGCGACAATGTGGGTTACCCAGAATGCTGTATACCGCTTGCTCACTGCTAACTGAGGTAGCCTTCGCCTTAAAATCTACCGTTCCCTTGGCATTGATATAGAGGCCGATGGCGCGGGCATTTTCAACAAAGCCGTCATCCGTAATAGTCGCAAAGGGGACGTGCACGTCGTCAACATTGACCCCAAGTTCTCGCGATTCTTCTACTCCAACTACTTCTGGTCGACCATGCAAGGTTAGCCGGAGGAAGACTTTGTCAGGTAACGGCGTTTACTGCTTGGTGCGATGCTATGTCTAGGCGTTAACTGGTGACGATGCTATGATTTCGTTTTGTCTGGATATACCCTGGGTTTGTGCAAATAATATACAGTATATACATATCTATCTTTTAGCGGCTATTCACCGTCGCAGTACCAACGTGTCCCTTTTGTGTCACGTAGAAGTAGGCTTCGTGTCGGATACTGCCTCAGCCTGGGCGGACTTCTTGCTGTCCAGAAATTGTATGACCTTTGCCCTATCCGCGTCAGTCAAGGTACTACGAGCCCCTGTTCCAAAAAGGAGAGGCTTCTCTTCTGGGAACAGCTCCTGAACAGCATCTAGCAGCTCCGATTTGTTCCTCTTGCCCTCATTGAAACCATCCCCCCACGACCGTAACCAGCTATCCTCAACTGCACTAACCCGGCTGTCTATCTGCTCCATATTGGGAATCTCATCTCCGTCCCAGGTGAGAACAACGCCCTTCGACGAGTCCACGTCTTCGTCCGCCGAGTATCTCACCTCAACGCCCAAGTTCACCAAGCCGAGTTGTTCGGCCTTCGCATTCCACAAGACCTGTCGTAATGCTCCGTCTCGCTCAATCATCATCCACATCAGTGGATACGCGCTTCTAGCGAGGGTATCTCGAACGCCCTTTGTCGCTTCCCGCGGACTAACCAAGATGCCAACCTCGTCGCCTGTCCGCCAGCCCACTGGCGACTGGTTAAATGTCCCTTCCAGTTCGCGAACCAAGTTCGGGCCCAGTTTAGTCTTTAGTGATTTGCATTGCACGATCACGCGAAGAGGGTGTTCGCGGTGCGGGAGGTGCCAAGTTCCCACGAGGTCGATACCTGCATCGTCGCGGCCGCCGACGCGGTGGAGCGTGAAGGCGGAAGAACGGAGGGTTCGCTGAACTATATATTCGTAGTGCATGCCTATGTAGGCCGTAGTGTTCCGAGAGAGAGCAGTCCGCTCTGCGTAGGAGAGGAAGGAAGGGAGGTCATGATGGTGCGCGGATGGATGCGGTGGAGGAGAGGGGAGCTTGAAGAGACGGCGCGTGAAGGAATGCAGTTGGCGATGACATTGGCGGCGGACGACAGAGGTGAGAATAAAGGAAGAGAGGGGACGATGGAGCCTCATATCAGCTTCCCATGATATGTTACACGTGTAAGGTAGTTACTGTTTGCTTATGCGGGTTGCCATTCAATCGACAAATTGGAGAAAGTTGGAGTTGAATCTAAATTATGCGACCGCAGAAGGAAATAATAAATCTTATCGCCGGCGATCTTCAATTTATCGCCGATCAACCTCCGACAAGCTGCAGGAACCTCTTTGATTCAATGCTCACCACCTTACCTGCATCTTCAACCTCGCCTTTCCCCCTCTTTTCTAAATCCGCTCTATATTTTCCACTATGGCAGACATTCTAACGCAGCTTCAAACCTGTCTCGACCAAGTAAGACCCCCCCCCCTCTCTCCCCAAACTAAGATTCCACGCCACATCCACACAAGGTGCAAACTAACCACCGTGACAACCAGCTCGCAACCCAATTCTACGCCACATTAGGTTATCTCGTAACCTATCATGATAATTCACCCACAATCCCCCCCCAAAATGATCCCACTGCTGCGCCCGCCCTCGCCAAAATCACCAAGAACTCGAGCGCGCCGCCCGTCCCCGCCGGCGCGCCTGCTGCCTCCCAAGCATCCCCACAACAACAAGCGGCCCAAATCCCAGGCCAACAGCAGCAAGGAGGCGGTGATGCAGGTCAGACACCCGGAGCTGGAGGGATGGCCGCCGACCCGAATCTGCCGCCTGCGCCAGATTCACCGCGGACATTTGCAAGTCGGCAGCGCGAATTGGCGAGGGATTTGGTGATCAAAGAGCAGCAGATTGAGTATTTGATCTCGGTACTTCCAGGAATCGACTCGTCAGAGGCGGAACAGGAGAGGAAGATTAGGGAGCTGGAGAAGGAACTGAGGAGTGCCGAGGAGGACAGGGAACAGAGAGTTCGGGAATTGAGGAAGTTGCGAAAGAAGCTGGAGAATGTTTTGGGGGCTATTGAGGTGGGGATTTATGGGGATCGTGGCATCGTGGCGTCTAGAAGGTGATAGAAGTTTTCTTACCATGCTTGGGGGGATGTTCCTCTGTAGGGAGCGTGTTCTATTTGATATCCACCTTGATTTTATAGATTATGGAGATGCTGTCCCATAGATGTTTAATGTTGCTATGAAGCTTTGGACTACACTATCGTGAATGACTCCGGAATATGTTGAGCGCAGGTAGGTCATGAGTAGTACGTGTTTGTCTCCATTCTACCCGGCCATGAGGATCATGATCTGGATGGATTCAGCAGAAATATGCCAGAAATCTGTATGCACCTGGTTTGTCCTGCGAAAGCTTCAACCTTGAAGAACATTCCCTGCTCATATTTCCATCAAGCGTCTCATCGGTGCGATGCTCAAGACTGCGTTGAGAATCCGTTTCGTTTCTCGTATAGAGGCTGCCGTTCGATGAGGAGCATCGAGAGACAGTGCCACTGCTGTGTCAGTACTTATGGGGAGTCCAGGATATATGCGATCTCCATGAAAAACCCGTAGCCTCCGTTTTGTTCCTACGTTTATACCCTCTTTTGCCGGACAAATCGCCTTCCTGCACCCCTCAGGACAGTGGTCTGCATATTGGTGATTTCAAGGAATGAGTAGCGTCCATCGACTCCCCCCTTATGCAGGGGCTAATCGTTTCGGGGACTCGCCGCGTGATGTGCGAGCTCGTATCATCTGGTTTGCTGGTCCCATCTGGATGGAATCTACAGGATATTTACAACCTTAGAGCAGCTCCACAGCAATCTTTCACAGGGACTTGCCAGAACTGACATATCGAGTGTGTCGCCCTTCAAATTCATCTGGTCCCTTAAGGGTGGGTGTGGCACTGTAGTGAGCAAATTCATTCGACGTCTCATGAGAACGGGGATCCTGCCGCCTATGAGATGAATGGCAGCGGATGGATTCATACCCTTGTTGTATCCCAACCCTGTTGGAGGCGACTGGCTCCACCAGATCCTGAAACACGGCGGCAATGACATGGTGATCTGCGGAATGCTAACCCTGGGGGAGATTCTATTTCAGGCGGCATGATGGCTATGCTGCACGAGGATCGAACGAGAAAACGAAGACCCTGTTCTTTAATGTAACATAGGGCTATTGTTAGGGTTTTGGGAGGACTCATTGGCGCAGTCTAGCGGGTAGTCTCCGCGACTAGAGGCCGCCGGCTGTCGGTTGGGGCCTCACCAGCCTCTCAATACGCTGGGTTTCTCAATAGAATTTGGAGCTCCTGTTAGCGATGTGAGCGGATTTGGGGGCCGTCTCCACTATGTCGGTCTTCTTTCCATTGATTATTACTTAACTGTCTCGCCCTTCCTCGCCTCTCCATACGACATCATCATTCAATATCAGTACTGACTTGATCTCATATCTCACCAAAAGATGAAGCTTTTCTCCATCTCGGCCGCCTACCTGGCCGTCCCCATGGCCCTGCTTGTCTCCGCCCAGACGCAGTCAATGAACCAGGTCGGCTGCTACACCGACAGCGCTGGGTTCGAAAACAAGGGCTCATACGCGTACCAAAGTCTGGGATATTGCGCCAAGGTGTGCAGCAAGGCGAATGCACCGTATATGGGCCTGCATGACGGTGCCGAATGCTGGTGCGGCACTTCCCTGCCGGACAAGAAGTCTCTCGAGTCGGACGACAAATGCAATAAACCTTGTACCGGATGGCCTGAGGATCATTGTAAGCATTGCACTTTGCCAATAGACGTCCATCGACTGGGATCTATGCTCACGAATGACTTACTTTAGGTGGTTCTGATACGGCGTGGTCGGTTTATCAACTTTCTGCCGCCGCGAAGCAGGTGACCGAGTCTGCGTCGGCTTCGACCAGCCTTGCAAGCGCTACCCCGGGATCGAACAGCACGGCATCGGCCACTACTGCGTCGGCCACTCAGTCGGGAAGTGCATCCCAAAGTGCCTCTTCGACGGGCGCGACTCCCACAACTTCTACCTCGGCTGCGACTCGGCGGTTCAAACTTCCTTTTTTCCTTTGAGACATGAGCTCTTGACTTGGGTATTCATCTGAACAGTGACTGATCTGCCTGGAGCCGCTCAGCCTTGACTCAGCTGTAACAGTATACCCCCTCCGTTGAGTGTCTCTGTCCAACAAAGAGAATCTATCACCGGCTCGTTAGTGTACAGGGTATAAACCTACATGATCTTGGAGGTCTATATAGTGGAACCCAGCCTTGCATGGCTGTCTTTAATGAGGCATATTTGAATACCTGCTAGTTCACGGAAAGTAACTTCTACCAAATTACTTCGCATTCCAATGCCCAAGATGTTTTGTTCGCTCTGGATAGGATTCGTGTCTCTTACCTTTCCCAGGGTATCCTTGACGAAACCATTTCAAGTGGAGGAACGCCCTGAGGTTCTATTATATCTTTCGAATCTTGTAGACAATCAAGCTCATCCAATATGGTCTCTCCAATCCAGCCCGGCATATCATCAAGGGAACGAATCCTATCCACTTGGTAATTAAGTATTAAGTTTCAACGGTACATCGTCATCCCCAGCAGCTCCATTGCGCATTAGTCTCCACCACTGAATACAATCGTTGTAGTCAGCCATAGCCAAGGTCGACAGGAGGCAGATAGGAACCAAGACCCAAATAGTAACAGTTTCTGCCAGTGATATTGTCGGCCTCTTGTGTATCTCACCGGGGGGCTGCTGTGACGCTCAAGGGCCTTTGTATATAACCGCGTTTCTGCAAGAGATCCTTTTCCAGAAACTCTTCCCACAGTGAAATCATTCTGCAGATCTGAAAGGGTCATATTCTCGGTTTGGCCACCCAGAATGCACAACCAGCTCATTAGTGTCTACTTATCGCCGTTGTCGATGCCTGTTTTCACGAGCTTTACGACGCAAATTCCGTTGGTGCTTCGGTTGAGGAGACCAGTAGGCGAAAGAACTTGTTATCTCGAAAGTATGACCTCCAATGATATATTCACATAGAGAACTTCCGAGATCGTTTGGCAGTCTCGTGGTTGTAATCTATAGCTGGTCTCTTTTCTGGGGCTAGATATAGTAGTCAGGAGGATTTGAATGCAATATATTTTGAAGAATCATATTTATATCTAATAGAATCCATGATCTCTTTACGAAGTACTTTCCCTATAGCCTCGGCAACGTTCAAAACATGAGCAAGCTCTACTCTAGATTGTCATCTCCCTTGCTGTTTCGTGAATGTCTACGGACATCTGGAGAGACTATATTCGAGATATGAGCTGTTGAATATGGATCCTTCACTCAAAGGAAAAATAAGACGGGGGGTTACTCCTAAAAAAAGCTACATGAGAAAAGATCGAACGAAACATCTGTCCAGCATACCACGACCAAGGTATTGAGTACAAAACCTTATTGTAGATCTCAATCAATACACTTCAGATGTCACGATATTATAAAGAGCTTAAAAAGCTTTACCAAGATGGTAAAATCAATTGATACAAAGATGTGCGGTGGTCTCCAATAGCCTCAGTCTGCTATTTCGGCTCGAGCGTCGTGCGAAAAGGAATAGAAACACCATCAGTAGAGCACCACCACGGATTCTTCTATAGCATCGTCAATACGGTCATATATATATGAGCTGCCCAAGTCTTCCAGGAAGAGAAATGTGTGTTGTGCAGAGCATATACCCATGACTTGCTAGTAGCCGGGGCCACAGCTAGAAAAACGACTGCATCCAGAAAGTCTTCAAGTCGATATTCAAACTAAACAGTATAGAATCTCTGCCCTCTTTTTATAAGTCATTTTCACGGCAATAGATCAGTCTCAATTCCATCAGCATAACTAGTACGCACAGGAAACTCTTCATGCACACCGAATTAGGGGGGGATCAGACCGGGCCTACATTACTGAACAATCGAGAAGAACAAGGATCAATCGGTAAATTACTAATTTTGACCCCATTTACCTTTCTATCTTTATTTCCGAGCCTCTACCTTCAATCAATTTCTCAATATTCTGCTGAGCTGGCGGGGTCAGTTAGGTTAATGTCTTTGCACTTTTCACGAAGCAACGAACTCTCTTCTAATGACAAATTGTAAGATAAGGGGCAGACCCCACCATATCGTAGATCTTCTACCCGGTAATTGGTCTGAAAGAAGAGCCGGAATAATTTTGGCATCGCCATGTTCGACGGAGGCTGTTAGTTTTCATTAGTTAGGGCTTATCGGGCATGGATCGTCGTGAACAGCGCACGGAGTGGGGCGACTATCGGGGGTTTGAGCCAGGAACGCTGTCGGTGCCTGATGATCTAAGGGTCGATCAAGAATAGTTCGTCAGTTCCAGCTGAAAAGTATTCAGCCAAGTCCCATTTAAGATTCAGCCCCAGCTTGGCCCGGCATTGGAAATATAACAGCATGGATGGCACGCGTCCCCGCCTCTCTCTCTCTCTCTCTCAGTCTCTCTTCAGTGTGCTCGCTGGTGTCTTACTTCTCTCTGCTCGATCCTCCAGTATGGGAAATACAACCAGTATCGCTGGGCGTGATTGCCTGGTCTCTGCCCTGGGAGGCAATGCGGGTCTCGTCGCCTTTCAAGACCAGCTTCTTTATCAAACTACCGCGGTGCATGAATACAACCTCAACATTCCGGTAACCCCGGCCGCAGTCACTTACCCTGAGACGGCAGAGCAGATAGCTGCCGTTGTCAAGTGTGCCTCTGAATATGATTACAAGGTACAGGCCCGTAGTGGGGGTCATAGCTTTGGAAATTATGGTAGGGTAGCCAGCTCCATGACTACCATGTCAATCTCTCTTTAAAACACAGCTGACTCAACTGGACACCAGGACTTGGAGGAGCGGATGGCGCCGTGGTTGTAGATATGAAACACTTCTCCCAATTCTCGATGGATGATCAGACATACGAGGCTGTCATTGGCCCAGGGACGACCCTTGGCGACGTGGACACCGAGCTATACAACAACGGGAAGAGAGCAATGGCACATGGCATCTGTCCGACGATCAGCACCGGTGGACATTTCACCATGGGAGGCCTGGGTCCGACGGCGCGCCAGTGGGGGCTGGCCCTGGACCACGTCGAAGAGGTTGAGGTCGTGTTAGCGAACTCGTCCATCGTGCGGGCCTCGAACACGCAGAATCAAGAGGTTTTCTTTGCGGTCAAAGGTGCTGCAGCCAGCTTTGGCATTGTCACCGAGTTCAAGGTCCGCACGCAGCCGGCACCAGGACTCGCCGTCCAGTATTCATATACCTTTAACATCGGCAGCAGCGCTGAAAAGGCGCAATTCGTCAAGGATTGGCAGTCCTTCATCTCGGCCAAGAACCTGACCCGCCAATTCTACACGAACATGGTCATATTCGACGGCGACATTATCCTGGAAGGTCTGTTCTTCGGCTCGCAAGAGCAGTATGAGGCCCTGGGCCTGGAAGACCGTTTTGTGCCGAAGAACCCGGGCAATATCCTGGTGCTGACGGACTGGCTCGGGATGGTCGGCCACGCGCTTGAAGATACCATCCTGCGGCTGGTCGGAAATACTCCAACCTGGTTCTATGCGAAATCACTCGGGTTCACGCCCGACACGCTGATCCCCGCCTCCGGGATCGACGAGTTCTTCGACTACATTGAAAACCACAAGGCCGGCACGTTGACTTGGTTCGTGACCCTGAGCCTGGAGGGCGGCGCTATCAACGACGTCCCGGAAGATGCCACCGCCTATGGCCACCGAGATGTGCTGTTCTGGGTTCAGATCTTCATGGCCAGTCCGACCGGCCCTGTTTCCTCCACCACATACGACTTTGCCGACGGCCTTTACAATGTTCTGACGAAGGCAGTGCCCGAGAGTGAGGGACACGCATATCTCGGATGCCCGGATCCGAAGATGGCAGATGCGCAGCAGAAATATTGGCGACAGAATCTTCCCAGGCTAGAGGAGCTGAAAGCGACTCTGGATCCCAAGGACACTTTCCATAATCCCCAGGGGATTTTACCGGCCTGAGTTCGGAAACCCCGGCCCGCCATAGAGTACTGCCCTCCCCTACGGCATTACTCTGATACCTTACCACCTTGTATGCTATTGAGCGATCACATTCTCTGTCCACCATTAGATCTAATATTGTCCATAAAAGCTGCCTTGGTTTCGTTACTTATGTGACTCTCCTGCTACGACTGAGTGTGTTTTTCTAAACCAAAACGAGAGACCATTTACGTAAGATGCAAGTCCATAGCACGGAGTAGTAGTTGTGCCAAAAAGGCCCCCATGACATGCGTGAGAGAAGTGAGCAAACCCTATCCAACGAAAACCCTTCCACCACTCCTTTCTAAAAAAATCTCACAGCAATCCCCCCCCCCCCAGCATTAGTAACACCAATGATGATTCGAAGAGCATACGAAGCAATCACTATAAGTTTCACACAGCGCATGCGTATAACAACGAGGATGAGAACATGAGTTGCCATCAGTCTCGGGAGCGGTCCATCATGACTCTGGAGGGTAACCTCCCGGAATTCTCCGCTGGATGAATCCGAGCGCGAGCGCTGCTCGTGGACTCTGCTCGCCGATCTCATCGAACCGTCGAGCTCTGCACACAAGCCGTCTGCTGCCACGGCCAGAACTTCGCCGTCGTGGTCGAGCAGGTAATAGCCGCCGTTGCGATCATCCAAGGTCCCCATCGAGTAGGCGGCCGCCATGTCGTGGAGCTGCTGGCGGGTCTCCAGGATGAGCGTTCCTGCTGGGATGGGGACGGTGTATCTGGTGACGGTTGCGAGGGCCGTTGCTACGAGCCGGAGAAGGAGCACGAGAGCTCCCGACACGTGGGTTAGAGTCATTTTATGAGTCTGCTGGGTTGTGAGATGATAGTGATTTGATTTGATTTGACTTGCGGGCTGGCGGTGCCGCTTACGTGATTTTCGTCGATGCTAACGAATCCTTTGAGCTGAGTAGCTCGAGTCTTGATATACCAAGCTTTTTTTTTTTTTGAGTGCCAAGACCGTACCGAGTCACAGGTAAGAGGGAAGCTATGAAAGAGAAGAGGCAAGGCTGTAAGGTTTACGGTGGATATTAAATGTCTTTCCCGGAACAAAGACGGTGTGAGGCAGCAGGCTGAGGCGTGCTTGGAGGCTAGAAAAGAGCCCGCTTATCTGGCTTGATAGGCGTTAATATAACCCCAGTCTCCAATCGGGTCACACATGTGGCAGGCTGGCCAATAGGCAGGAAGAACCCCTGCGCTATAAGACACAGAATTTACTTGGACAGCCGTCGATGCTCCCCCTCTGTGTGGCCCATAGCCACAATCTGCCGCACGGCTCTAATCCGTGCGGTTTGGATCCATAATGTAAACGGCAGTGGCTAGTAGGATTAGAACTGTGCTTAATGACTCAGACTAAGCCGGTTTGTTCGTGCTAGACTATCACCAGTACACAGTTACGGTTCATCTATCACCACCCATATACCCTAGAAAGCCTTTTGTTTGCTGGTTGACCTTCCATACACCCAGCATGATGAAAGCCCTGGGGATTTCTAATACCAGACGGCTGTAACTTTTGGAATTGTTGGCATTGTAGTAAGACGGAAACCGGGATAGGGTTCAAAGACATACATGACAGCGACAGGAAAGGAAGAAAAATAGGAGAGGTAGGAGCCAGGGCACATGGTCGGACATGACAGTGACCGTGCTGCCTAATGCCCCGACTCACCGATGATGGAGCTGGGTGCAAACCTGGTCGTAGCGCATCACAGTTGAGTTTCTAATTTGGAGTCCCCGTCACCTCCTATTCACTACGGAACCTCAAGCAGATCGGGTTGAGCCCGTCCGCCAGGCGAGCGGCCGTTACTGTAGTACCCTGGGGACGAGCTCTCTCGGACTTAGAGCTAATCGTGCTGGTCACCTGGTCGTGCCCTTTACCACATTCTACCATCTAACCATACATGGTGATAAACTAAGACTATAGACGCGAACCCAGGCGGATGGACGCCAGAATGGAAAGGCGACGTCACGTAGGGTTAAAAGCTACAGGCGATCAAGATCAGACAGGATACCCTGGTTGGTGGTGTGGCTGGGTGGGTAAGGAGAAATGAGTTGATCGAGATAGGACTGGTCTACAGTATATTAGTCGGATGATTCACCGATTTAAGGCTGTGGATTATCCTGATTCGATTCCCTGGACAGGAGCAACTCCTTCCGGCTTAAGTAATATATGCATTTATCTAGGCGAGATACCAAATGGCATTCTGTTGTAGACATGATAAGACGTGTAGTGTAAGATTATCTCACTGGAAGAGTGATAAACGGAGTCTGGCGGTAACGCTCACGAATAGTCAACACTAACCTGGCCATCATAGTCTAGCATCCTGGTGTAGACATCTATCAGCAGCCTGAGAAATCTACCCTCGGTACTAGCCTTACCAGAAAGATTGTGATTGCACAGGTTCTCGCCTCTGAACTTGTATGGGGGCTCCTAGCGAAATAAATATAACATAAATGCTGCCGAGCCGAATGTCGGCTGATCTGGGCGAAATCTGTAGACCGACGCTCGGCTCGGCACGTCCTTCATCGCGTAGTCAACGGCATTCGAAAGGAAGATATATTGTGAGACAAACCCCCCCCCCCTCCTTCCAAAGCTTGAATCACACACAATATCAGCATTGATCTCCCAGACATACATCTTACCTTCACATTTCTCCCCAAAATGGCAGCAACCAAAACCACGGTGACCGTCGAATACAGCGACAAACTCGCCATCGTGACTCTCGACAACCAAGAGAAACTCAACGCCCTCAGTCAAGAAGACTACTACAAACTGGCCTCGACGCTGAGAGAAATCGCCCAGCACGACGAAGTCTGGTGACGCTCTTGATCGGCAAAGGCCGCTTCTTCTCCACGTATGATAACAAGCGACCAACCCATGATACCCGGATCAGCGAAACAGACATAGCGTACTGACTGACGTGTGGTTCCAACACAGAGGCGCAGATATAACCCGCCCACCCCCCGATCTCGGCAAAACCGAGCCCCGCCAGTACTGGTGCGCGCCCTCGTGCTCAACAACATCGATCTCGCCGACGCGTTCTACACCCATCCCAAGATCCTGGTGACGGCGTTGAACGGGCCCGTGCTGGGCCTCTCAGCGGCAGTGGTTGCGCATTCGGACTTCATCTTCGCAACGCCGAACGCGTACCTCCTGACCCCGTTTTCGTCGCTGGGTCTTGTCACCGAGGGCGGGGCCAGTCTGGCCTTTGTGCGTCGGCTGGGTATTAGCAAGGCGAAGGAGGCGTTGCTGTGCAGTCGCAAGATTCCGGCTGAGGAGCTGCAGCAGGTGGGATTTGTGAACCAGGTGTTGGACGCGGGCGGAGACGAGGAGAGATTCAGGGAGATGGTGTTGGGTGAGATTGGCAGTCGGTTCGGTGATCATTTGGTGGGGTCTAGCTTGTTGGAGATTAAGAGGCTGCTTCGTGAACCTGGGGATCGAGAGTTTAATGCCCAGGCTGTGCAGGAGGTTTTTGGGGGGCTGCAGAGGTTTGTTGATGGCGTTCCCCAGGCGGAGTTTAAGAAGATCGCGACTGGGCAGAAGAGACATAAGCTTTAGGAACTTTGGGGTCTAGCTTGTCTGTGTGTTGTGGATGTGATTAGGGACTAGGGCTAGTGAGATAGTAGTTAAGACACTGTTGTTGTTGTGAAAAGGACCATCGGAGTCATGCGGTTTTTCTCCTTCATGTAGCCTTTTAATTGGGGAAAGGTCGTGAGGTGTTCATTTGCATTGTCTATGGATAGTAATTACTCAGCCTCTGGTTCAGATTCCTGCAGTGGTTGCCTCATTCCAATTGCGACCTGCAATGAATGAAGGACATCTGCTGAGTCGGGGTATGCAGAGCAAGCCTCGGATGTACCGTGTGCCATGTACATAGGATCACTGGCGCCGTCCTGTAGACGAGTCTTGATCCTCTGTGAATGGCTCGACGTTGCCCGGTGTCCCATGGATGGATATTGAGTCGAAGGACGGCCTGGAGATATCTTGACTATAATCCGGCTCTTGGGCAGAAGGAGATCTGGATTGGCTCGTCTTGGTCGAGTATATCTTTTCCTTCGGTGTTGTCCCACTTGAGTCTCTTGACTTCGAGCCTCTAAATCAGTCAGCGCCTCGTTGAGTAAAGAGTCGAAGTATTTCTCGCTGTATATGAGTCCGGCGCCTTCTCGGACCGAACTGGCTATTGGCCAGACCGTTGATATAAGTTCTGAAACCTGAAGGCAAGTTTCGATGTTCGCACGCCATTGAAGGATTAGAGTTGGACTAGAGGTAAGCTTTTGACTTTTGGCAGCGCTTAGGACAGTGACAACACTATATATACTTCGAGAAGGTTAGGTCATATTCGTGGAACATTATGTCGAAGGGATGGGGCCATACACTGATGGTGGAACATAAGTAATCTGGTTGTGGGATACTATAGCCTGCATGATAGAGGCAATCGTCGAACCTGCCTGCAAAACTACGGCAGACGAAGACGCTGGGCGAGCTACTGCCGGGAGCAAGGCATGGAGTTGGCATACCATCGTACTGAACATCTTGGTTAGCTTAGCTGGGAGAGAACAAGTCTCACACTTACTAGAAGATAGAATGTAGGATCGCAGGCCAAAAGCTATGGCGTGCTTGAGACCAGTGCATTTGTTCAGGGCATTGTATCATCCATTGACTAAGACGAATCTCCCATTGAGCGAATTCAGATTCTGTAAGGAGCCCAGCTCTTCTCCGTCGGGCAACAACTACGTCCATCAGCTCACATAGTTTGACGTACTGGATGAAGAACTGGGCTCGAACCGAGTCAGGCCGGTGCCCTTCGCTCTCGATAAAGTCATCCTGCGTGATGGGATCTACGTCGGTGAGATCCGCGTCTATGCAGGTAGGCCTGCCGTATGCGGCAGCCATGGCACGATCTCTGGTGTAGAGAGTCCACCAGATCCGCCTCGAGAGCCGGCGCTCGGGTGGCTTCATTTCTAACTCGTTACTGACGGTCAATGGTGAGCATAAGTAATAGTTCGGAGGATGATAAAGGGAAGGAAGGGTGTACGAACAGAAAGGAAAGAGCCTGTTAAAGAGTTGGGTGTGGAATAAGAAACTTGGATTCTAACCTTTTATGCATCCCGGAGTTTTGTGCTACGCCAATCGCCAGTCTACTCCAATAGAATAGCCCATTTTCTGTAGTATCTAGAGGTGTGTTCAGTTGATAGTATCTTCGAGGACACCGACAGACGCACCTTCCGTCCCTTGCCAATACCAGCTCATCAGTAGTAAAGATTGTATCACCGTGATATAGTCCTTTTCAAACTCTGCATCATAAAGAGCTTTTGCCCGTTGAAGATATATCATTGAGCTATGAGTCCTGGACGCTGAGTCTTTTCCGCTAACTTTCTCCTCAACAACCCGTGACCCTGCGAGGAACATGGCCTGTAAAAGAAGAAGGGAGGGAGGATTCAGAGGATCCCTATACATGGACAGGAAGACGCTCTGGTTAACGACAGGCAATACAGGGGCGACCCAGGAAAAGAATCCGTCAATGAGCTTATCCTGTACCGCCTGCGGAGGAATCTTAAAAGCCCCTTTAAGCTTGAGAATTGTTCGCTCTTCCTCCTCCAGCAAGTCCAGTTGAGTCTTATAAGCACCGTATATGTCCATAGTCAGCGTCGGTAGTTTCTCTCTGGGTCTTCACACTGTTGTACGTTTCAGGGGCGGTTAGGTTAGGGTTTCTATATGGGCTTTGTGTCAGTCTGTCACGTGAAACTTGCTAACCTAAGCAGACACGCTTCCGAGGTTGTTTTGGTTTACAAATTACACCAGTGACCAGTCTATCGAGGTTATGCCACTCCAACACTACTACTAGTAGTATGATTTGGTATACTTGGCCTGAGGAGAACGTATTTCAACTGAGAATTCTGTGACTGTACACATATTAAGTGATAGTTTCAATAACTATTGGGATTCTGCCCTCAGCATCCCGAACCACATCGCCCAGCCTATATCTGGTGGTAGTCAGGTTATAAAAAGAGATCAGTATGGTTCCTATATTTAACATGCTCTTATCCTAGACGGGCTGCATGCCTCCACAAGAAGTTGGCCATTTGGTTGTAGCGACATCCATCCACGTAGCTAGATACCTCGTCAACTTTCTCCGGATGGGTGAGTTTGATCTCCTCCAATAGTGCATTGGCAATTTGATCAAAGCACTCGATATTCCGATTGGTCTCTGCTTCAGTCTCCTTGACTGCTTGTCGAACGGTCAACCCACGGGCGTTAACCAGGACAGGGACCATGCTGCTAATGTCACCATGCTTTTATAGGGACTGCCGTTCAGATTTGGAACCAAAGAAAACTTGGTACTGCAGCACATTGGGTTCGTCTTCCTGCATGGATGATGCGATGATCCCGTCCATGATTTCTGTCAACTGTATCTCGACATATTACGTTGGATAGCTCTAGAGGAAGTCATTTGGCAAAACTTACCTGATCTGCTTTCCCAGGTCGAGGGTAAACGACGGCGCACTGGAGCTGTTCTTGTGATTTTGTCATCGTAGTGACGTATAGAGAAGAAGGATAACCAAGGTGACCGCGTTTTCGGACTTGCGGGATTTATATTCATGTCCGTAGACCAGAAGGGTTTCACTCTAATTCTTTTCCCCACTTCCAACGATTTAAAAAAGAGTCAGTATCTCTCTTCCTGCTGTCCAGTCAAATCGACCCTATATTTTGTTTCACAGTAGATGCATCAAAACATGATTATTCCTAGTTTTTGGACCGGTACTGCTGTTCTCAGCTTTGTTGTGTGTGCCTATGTGCTGCGCCATATTCTGATGAGGTATGACTTTGAGCTGGCTCCATGTTGAGTTTTACAAATAAGCTCTTCATATCTTTCATTGTCTTTCCAACTAGGACAATATCCATCTCATCCATCAATCATGACTCTACTTCCCAACACTGGCAATGTAGGCAGTCAGGTCTAGCACCCGACGACTGTATCCCCATTCGTTGTCATACCAGCTCACAAACTTGACGAAGTTCGGGTTCAGAGAGATACCAGCCTTGATATCAACAATTGATGAATGAGGGTTCCCCTTCATATCACTTGAGACAACATCATCCTCGGTGTAATCGAGAATACCTACTCATCCTTAGTTATGTTATCCGAACAGAGATATAGTCGGCTTACCCTTTAAAGGTCCCTGTGCAGCTTCCTTTATCGCAGTAACAATCTCCTCATACGAGGCCCCTTTCTCCAGGCGACAGGTCAGGTCAACCATGGACACATTGGAGGTTGGCACCCTGATAGACATCCCGGTCACTTTACCCTGGAGCTCAGGGATCACCTTACCAACGGCCTTGGCCGCCCCTGTGCTGCTCGGGATCAGGTTCTCAGCAGCAGCGCGGCCGCCACGCCAGTCCTTCAAAGAAGGCGCATCGACTAACTTTTGCGTAGCAGTGTAGGCATGAACCGCGGTCATCAGGCCGTCAACTACGCCAAATTTCTCATGTAGAACTTTGGTTAAAGGCGCCAAGCAGTTGGTGGTGCAGGAGGCATTCGACACCACATCGGCCCCTGTATAGGTCGTCTCATTTACCCCCATGACGTACATGGGTGCGTCAGCAGAAGGAGCAGAGATAACGACCTTCTTAGCGCCACCTTGAAGGTGAGCACTCGCCTTTTCCACTGTAGTGAACACGCCAGTCGACTCAATAATATATTCCGCCCCAGCATCCTTCCATGGAATTTGGGAAGGATCCTTTTCCGCATAGAACTTGACCTTCTTGCCGTCCACAACAAGGCAGTCACCGTCAATGTGGACATCATAAGCAAAGGTGCCGTGGGTAGAATCGTACTTGAGCATGTATGCCTAAGCATCCGACTGATATCAGCACTCATGTCGTTCGACCGCAGACCATCCAAGGAACGTACCGCGTATTGGACCTCGATAAAAGGATCGTTCACCATCACCACTTCGGTGTTGGCATGAGAGAAGGAGTTGCGGAATACGATCCGACCGATACGGCCAAAGCCGTTGATACCAACCTTGGCAGCCATTTTGTCTGACGTTAGTCTTGACTTGCAACCGGAAGGGGATGATTTGGGTTGAATTGACGAAGGATGATAACGAGGCCAGCAGGCGACGAGGGGGAGACTAAGTAGCGAAGGCACTCGTTTCGCCCCTCGTCGATATTCGATCACGAGTTCAGAACATGCCACCGTCAGATTATTCTTAGTATAGATCTTAGTATAGCTGAGCGTACCAAGAAGCCTTGCCGGTGTACTCCGGGGGATAGCGTACGTGGTCACCACTAGCCGGATGTGGACACCGGATTAAGGGCCCGTGACACAGGATCTTCGCGTATACTTCGTACGTCGAGACGCACCTAGTATTAGAGACCGCTAGGAATGCTGTCAGCCTCACTAACCGGGGGCGCGATATCACTTGACCCGCTAAGTAAGACACCCGATTTTAGTGGCATCTGCCAGTGCAAACAGGACAAGCTGATTGAATCTAGACCGTCTCTGTCCGAGAGTCCCCCCGTCTTCGAGTGGCGACCACAGCTCGATTGCCGTGAGATTTACATGATTACATGAGTCTTGCCGTCATTCTTGCTCGCCTTGATTTGGAGCCATATGACATCAGCTGGGAAAAAAGACGTGTATTACACTCGTGACTTCACACTCAGGCCGCCCTGTCTGTGGTCCATATCCTAAAAGTCAATATGTGAGTACGCCTTATCAATTTCTATCCAGGTTGAACTCAAGAAAAAGCCCGATCCAGAGCTATGTCCATATAGGAATCCTCTGACCCACATCTGCGAATCAATTAGTTTCGTTGTTCCAGCTTCTCGCCTACATCCGAAGTGAATGGGCGGGCAAATCTCTACCTTCACGATCCAGGACATCACGTTTACAACACGGTGGACCCAGCGGGTCTCCGGCCAGAGTATGTACACCCAGTCAAAGTCGTTGCGAATACGTATGGAAAGCCAGCTGGCGACATGATGAATAAGCTTCTTGTCCTGCATGGGCTTTATGGAGGTGAACAGAGTGCCCTTTGATAGCATAGGATGGTTGCTGTTGCATTCGCTCTCTTCCTTTTTCGGGGACCCCTTGGTCACATCATTTCACCGGGGACATTATTGGATCTTCATACAGATAATCAAACTTTCGGTTAGGAAACTTGCTGTTCGGCCGTGAGACCAAAATTCCAGAAGTAGATAGATCAAAGATGAAAAGATCAGTCCAAGCTTTAGATCAATGCGACTAAAGCCAAGGAATCTAGCTGAGAAGGTAACGCTATGTATGATTCTCTCGGAAAAGATTGTAACCTCTTATTTACAATATACGTGGGACTTGTGTCGAGTCGGGTATTATAGTAATGACCTATCCAGATTTGAAGAAGTGAACCCACCTCATTTGTAACAGTTTTACAATCTTAGCATGGTTACAATAACAGAATATACCTCTATTAAATAGCCACAGACTCATACAATATGTATGTATGCATATGTGTATGTGTGTATGCATGTATGTATGTAGGGAGTAGATAGGTAGGTATGTCTGTCTGTCTGTCTGTATGTATATAGGGGGGTCCATCTATATCCAACAAAGTCAACATTAACATCAAGCATAATAGCTCGATGATCTCTCTTAAAAAGCCGGCGTCATTACCACCGACCCCTCCTCCACGTTTCGGTGGAGTATGTATTGGCTGTGGAGATACTTGACTTGGTTCCACATTATGGTACAGATAAGTGCATGATCTATAGCACATTCCGATATCACAGTTGGTCAGAAAGAGCGTTTAACCCATGCTAGTAGGGTTAGGATCCAATGTGGGAAATGTATCAAAGCGGCTGTAGAACCCTGTTCTTCCCTCTGAACGATATCCAGAAAGCCCGTTGACACGTTTATGCACCCATTGCTCACACGAAAAACTCTGGAGGTCGACGACGTTACCAAGATGCCGTCCGTTTGACCTGCCGGATGGAAGGCTTTTCATGGCTGATTCTCACCCCGGACGTATACAAGACGCCCGACCTTGTTCAATTCCAGCTGTTACTGGCGAGGAGGCCGTCGTGAGTAAATCGGTCTTGCCGTAACTACTACTGTACAAAAGACAGGGGGTGGCCTCTACCCTTTGAGGACCCAGAGCTCCACAATTCCGCCGACGCAGTCACCACTGCCGATCCCAATATACTCTCGGTGTTGTAAGCAGCTGTTGATCCTGAATACAGGGGTCTCGGGGGGGGAGACCGCTGAGAATTGCAAACCCAAGCATGCGCGTGAGAGCCAAGGGAGCAGTGTGGTATTAGCGGACGGGCTTGGGTCTTGCAGCCATCGTAGCAGAGACTTCGCCTCTGAGGCACTATCCGGAGGAAGATTAGGGTATCTACAACGAGCCAAATGTGTCTTCCTATGAGACTACGTAGGTTGTCTCTGGCCATTTCTTTCTGGGATCAGACTTTTGATCTAATTTTGCCCAGAATCCGCAATTTCGGCTACAGCGAGCATCTTTCTCTCCATTTTCGCGGGGAGCCTCTGCGGGTCAGGTTGCGAGAGAGACCTTCGTAAGTAGTAGCGTACGGAGGGAAACGCAGGCTTTGGGATAAGAGGGGGGGGAGTTGATCCTCTCAAGATTTACTCCAAGTTTATCCGTTTAGCTCCTTAAACCGTATAGAAGTCTCGAAGCAGGCCATGTAAAATAACCATAGTATCCACATCCAGCTCATTAAGCGAGCAGGGGGAGGGAGAATATGGGCGCACATATATATCCAAGTATCCTACAAATCCCTCCTACTGACTGATACAGGGAGGCATACTTTACTTATTTCAGCCTTTACTGTAGGGAATTGGAATTATTCTTTCCATTAACCGTGTGATCCAGCCCGGGTTATTGTCCAGCGGATGCGAATCCTGGCCGGTGGGAAGGATGTCCGCGAATGATCCCCAATGCATGGTTTCTTCGGGATCTTAAAATAGGCTTGCGCTCATGCAGTGAGACACGTTTGGTTCCATCCCGCTGCCACAACAGCTAGAAAGCTGGAGTTAGGCTTGTGTATAGTCTTTAAGCCTAAGTACCTTTTTGCTGGAAGCACAGTTCACAACCCCCTGTCAGACATGTTCACCATAGTGCGGTTTTCGCGCGTTTACTCTATGCACAGAGTTTTACCTGAATGGGTCGACATTGATTTGAGAGTATACAGGAACTAACATAGCTTTCTACTAACCCTCCCTCACCGTGACCAGGATTCCCGGTGTGTCGCGCGCCTGCGCCCCCAGAATATAATCACGACTCACGTCGATGTCGCGCTCCCGTCGGACGGCGGAAACATCAAAGTCAAACTGACGGAAGACTGTTGCGAGAATCAAAACGAGCTCTGCACGGGCCAGATTCATGCCCAGACACGAGCGCGGACCCCGATTGAAGGGCACCAAGTAGCGTTCCAGTTGCTTGCCGTCGGGTCCCAACCACCGCTCGGGCCGGAAAACACGAGGTTCGGGGAAAATGGTCTCGTTGGGATGGGCAAGCATGGCAGTCATCCCCACGGTCATGTTGGCAGGGATGAAGATTCCGCGGCACTGAAGCGGGTGGTCAGGAAATTGGCGGCTGATCCGGTGGGTGACCGGATCACACAGACGTAGCCCCTCCTGTATCACGGCCGTTAGGTAGGGGAGCTGCTCAAGTGTGGTCAGTGTGGGAAACTGCTGAGGATCGGGGATGTTGGCCACGAGTTCGTCATGCAGTCGCTGTCGCACAGACGGGTTGGCGGCAATATGATATGCCGTGCCTCGCAACACATAGGATCTATAGAGAATTAACCTGAGAAACTCCACCACAATAGAGAGCTTCGGGCATGGAAAGGCTTACGTTGTCCCAGAGCCTGCTGTCACCAAGCTAAATGCTTCATCACGCAGCCGATCCCGCCGCAGCTCTGCTGGGGGGAGTTTACTATTTAGCAGCTCATGGAAGACAGTGCGATGACTGGCATTCTTATAGGTCATATCCTCCCCATTTCGAATAGCCTCCACCTGCCGAGACAAGTCCTGTACAGATTATCGTTAGTGTCTGTATCTTGTCGTATCCCCCATCCGATGGTCTTACCCGACGGAAATCTAGAATATCTGCCATGGCAGGAGCTAGGATCTTATTCACGCGATCCTACACATTGACGGTTTATTAGGGTATATATTTCCATGACTCCAGAGTTGGTACTTCTTACCGGTAATGAATAGGTGAAGCGCATGGCCCACGGAATATGGATATTCAGCAGGCTCACCTCCAAGAAGCTGTCTACGTCGTCAAACCCCTTGCGGCCGAAATCTGGCTGGCCCACATTGTGCGGCTCATGGGCAAAGCAGTAGGCATTGATGATATCTAGGGTGACGGCGGCGTATATATATTTCATATTCAACATTTCGCCGGTCTGCGCAGCTTGTTGCAGGCGCTCGCGTAGAATTTTAATGGGCCGCCTCATTACTGGAACGAGGTCGTTGACAGATTTCTTGGGAAAGAATGGGTTCAGAGCGCTGCGTCGCAGGCGATGCAGGTCATGCGACTGGGTCCCAATAGTCTGCATTTCTTAATTATACTGCTCTTCTTCATTTTTTTTTTCCTCTTGGGGAGACTGTCACAGCAGGGGGCATACGGCTGGATATGGCCCAAAGGCCTCCGCGACGCGCAAGGGCTTCTCAGCACGGCCATTAGTCTGGTTGAAGACCTGGTCGAAGAAATCGGGATCATCGATATGAACCTCGTCGGGGTTAATGCGAATGACTGGGCCTGTCGCCGAAAGATTAGGTTACGTCCGTCCATGAGGATAAGGAATCCATACCATATTTTCTATGCAGATCCTTCAGTTGGAAGGTGAACTGACCACTCTGGTAAAGGTCATAGTACCACTCATAGAGATAGCTCACCTTGGCCAACGGAGGGCCGGGGATATGCGCCAGAGGGTGGAAATAGACCCGGTAGGCTAGGAGGGAGATTAGGGCCACCAGAACCAGGGATAGTAACAGGAGGGCATCCATGGTGTGTCCTGTTATCAGGTTTGCCCACAGTACAGTTAATCCAGTTCCTGAGGGGGTGACTGGGCTTACGGCCCTTATGTAGGGGAACAAAGCCAGAGCAGCCAGTGAAATTAAATTAAGACCCCTTCCTTGTCTGAATCGTTGAAGGTAGGCTGTGATATGTGTGTCCCCTCTCTCCCCGATGGCTGTGTCATTTTGTTGGTCATATCCCCAACCCCCCGCACAGAGAACTGATTTAATTAGCGGGGAGAGGAAGAGAACAAAGAAGAGATTCTAGCCTGTCAGCCAAGAGGTAGTAGTCGAGTCGTTAGGGCCTGCATTATGGAGCAGGGATTCCTCGCCCTGTTCCCCGCCGATCCGCCACACGACGGGCCACAATGCACGCGACGTCGTCCAATAGGCAAATCTCATTTCCGTCTCTCTCCTCCTCGTTGACTAAAAGAACTACTCGGACGACTACTGGTGGTTCGTGATAGCTGAACAGGAAAGGGCCCCTTGCAAATTGACAGGTTGTTAACCGCTACAAGCTGGATCGGCCCTCTTGGTGGAAGGCCGGCACTTTATAGCCATGGGTCTTGGTCCATATCCACTGCTGCGCCTGTTGCACCGTGAACGGCACCAGATCCTCCACCACCAGCGGTTCCGCCGTCAGACCCCGCGCCCGGATGAACTGAGCACTCGAGGCCGGTCGCTCCCCCCGCTCAAATCGCACGATCGACTGAGCCCATTCCGCCAGGATCTGCTTTGTCTGCGGCGCCATCCGGAACACGAAGAAGAAAGTGTGGGGCATGTTCTCGTACTCACGAAGGGTGATAGACCCGCCTGCGCGATGCACCTCCCGGGCCACCAGTCGTGACGCGTCGACGATCTGCTCCTGACCCGACCCCAGCCAAAGGGGACAGGCGCCGGTCCAGTCGTCGGCAGCCGCAGGGCTTGCGAGCGGATGCGCGAGCATACCTGCCTCGCAGTAGAGGTTGGCACGCGGTGGACGCGTAGGCCAAGCCGGACAGGTCGGGAACGTCTTTTCCAGGTAGGGCAGCTTCTCGATCGGGACGGGGAAGATGTCACAGTAAGCATTGTGTTCGAACGATGGGAAGGCATTGGTGAGGTCAGCCACAGGACTGAGGAGGGACATCCCGGCCGGCACGACGGGCGCCTGTTTCGCTCCATGGAAAGTGATTGTGGCATCCCGACGCTGCAATCGGAGCAGGACCTGGAGGAGTCCTAGGGCTAGACAGGCGCCGGAGCTATCACCGGCGACCACAATCGAAGAGGCCGGCACAGCTTTGTGTGGACTGCCCCCAGGGGGGCTTAGCAAGGCTAGATAGGCTTGGAAGGCGTCTAGGAGGGCAGCTGGAAAGGGATTCTGAGGAGCCAGTCGCTGTCGCACGAGCAGGACCTTGGCTCCTGTGGCTTGCGCCAATGAGGCGGCATGTTTGCGATAGCTAGAGGGGGAGTTTAATCTAGTGGAATGGATTGATCATCGTCAGGACCGCTGCACTGATACATCAATCATAGCGGACAATGGAAGCACAAACACAAAGGAGCCCCCGTAGAGGTAAAGTATAGTCAAGGGGCTCTTGGTCTCCGCCATCAACTTCTCAAACTTCTCCTGTTCCTCAATTGCGGGCTCCGGGGTGTCCTTCTGGACATTGCTGCGGTATCCCACCCATTCAAAGTCCAGCGGAACCGACGCCGAATGCTCGTAGCGCACCTGGTGCTCGTTTGCCTCGTCTATCAGCTGTAGGAGAAGCTCGCGCGAGTTATCGTCAATTGGACTGGGGAGGGAGAATTTACTGACCCAGAGGGGGCCGTTGACGGGATCGTTGCGGCAGGTGGCCTTTTGCTGGACGGAGATGGCGGTGGTGTGGGCGCTTTGGAGGTATTCCGCGCGCACCTTCTGGGCAGCGGCCACCAGATGTTGGGCGTTCTGAAAGTCCATCACAGTTCAGTGCGCGCAATCTATAAAAGGATATGATCAGAGAGCAGATGGAGAGCACGGTTGACTTAACACTGCCCGCGGCTCTATCAACGCTTTATGAAGGAAAAGAGGACGAGACAGCGTGCGGTGAAGGATTCACATGGAAAAAGCGGAATACGCGATGAATCGCCCATCCTCGGATGTTGAAGGGAAAGTAAGGCTGGGCGATCAGGGATCAATCAGTCTTTGTGTGCTAAAGAAATCCCTGTCCGGTGGCTGCATTAATCCCCGACGACACAGAGGCCAGCATTGGTCAGTGGTCAGTACAGTTAGTACTAACTAGCACATGAGACAAAGAAACAAAGTGAGGCAGTGGAACACACTTGGTATCAGTATGACCAATAACATAGTAGATTCCCGTGGGTTTTCTAATAACATGACAACAGAAATGAGCAAGGCATATCTTGCGGGGGAAAGCCATAGGGAAAGAGAAGAAGTGATGCCGGTACTAGCTCCGCGATGTTTCCTCCAAGACCGGTACCACTTCCACTCCATGGTTGACGATGTGCCACCGATTCCTAGGAGCTGTAGATCAGACTTCTCGAACGCCGCCAGCGAACAACTTATTCGACGGCGCTGCATGCTTATCTCGCATTTTAGCCGCCGTCTCAGCGCCTGCCGCAGGAACTCGAAATTCCAAGGTTCGACCTGGGGCTGGGCCTTGCCTGTCTGGAAGTAAATAAGGGTAAGGTAAATACTCCGGCATCAAGCCCAGCTGGCGCAGCACGGTAGCCTGGTCCCACGATATGTGTTCGTGGTAGAGACGGTCTCCTCGGATATTGACTACCGCCACAAAAGGGATCTCAAGATGGCGGCCAGTTGGAGGGATTCCAGGGATCCTACGAAGATGAGTAAGATGAGCAACGCAGTCCAGAGAGTGTGAGAAGCCTTACAGCCAGTCAATCTCCGAATTATGGGTCAGGGTCATAATGAACTCGTCCACGACACGGTCGATGCCGATTGTCCGGCTTATGAGCTGGTTATTGGTATCGCGTGGGTTGCTGAAGATAAAGTGGTCACGATAAAATCGAGTGAGTTGGTCACGGCCAATTCCCCCCGTCATCTGGGAGATGTCAGCGGGCAGGCTGCTGAATCACCGACGATAGGACATATGGTACTCACCGTGGGAATATGATTAACGTAAGGCTCTTGTACCATCGTGTTCATTGTATGTTCAACAGATCGGTGGTCGAATTCAAAGTAAGTATGTTCTTCCCAGATGGCCTCCAGATCGAAGTAGGGACCATTCATATGTCTCTTCAGGAAGGACAAGGTCCGCGTGTGAGAGACTGCTTCTGTAGCATAATCAAATTTGGGGGAAGTGGGAAGGGCGAACAAATCGGTGTTGATCATTGAATAGTTATGTTGCATTATATTGGCCGTTCTCTGCAGCGGCACACTTGTGGGCCCATGAAGATGTTGTACGGTGGGTATAATGCTCGAGGTCAATTTAGCAGCATCAGCTGCTGCCGCATAGATAGCAGCTGCAGTTACCTTGTTGATACCGGGAAGAGATTGTACCTTCTCCCATAATCTATGGCCATATGCTGTGTCTCGATATCAGCCAGGTTGCGCTAAATTGAGTCGACGAATGAAGAAATCTTACCCACGAGGCCGATAGTATGCTTTGGAGAGCACTTCTCGTGTCGAGTCATTGCCTCAATTGCCTGGTTTATTACATCCCCGCGATCCAGTGCAGATTCCCGGATCTCGATAACGGTGTAGCCCTCTTCAGCCCATTTCAATGACGGCATAAGAACTCCGTCAGCCAAAAGCAGTTGGCTTGAGGCGCCGTCGGAAAGGACGACGATCATTCCAGGCCCAATGCCCCTGCGAGAGAGAGGAGGAAGCAGGACAACCCCAGACTTCACCTCGTAGATCTTTGGGGTGGGCAATACTTTCAGCGGAATATCAATCTGGGCCATGGTAACTGACTTGAAAGATATAGATTTTGAATGCAATGCTGAATATGTCAATGTCTGCTTACTTGCCAAAGGGCTCTCCCCAATCCCCATTAAATAGACATGCCCTGACTTCCTCCCCTCGCCCAGATCAGTTGTACTCTCCGCATGTTGAGAAGTATCCTTGCAGGTCAATGCGCGGGGTTGTGCTCGACTATGATAACTCAGGCAGCACCTACATGAGCCTTCGGGGCTCAAATATCCGAGTACTTTCGGTAGCAATGAACTCGTAACTACCATTCGCCGCAGATAGTGCGCTAGCAGATATTCCCCGCAACCTCAACATAGGGTACACTTCTCCATAGATAGTGAATGGTCCTAACTCTCGGGTCAACTCCTTCAGCTTCGGAAGTCCGACCATGATAGGGATAGCGCCGTCTCGGTCTAATATTTGTGGTATCGTCAGACATGATTTGCCTGACTCTCCTATCCTCTTACTAGTAGCTGGCAGCACTAGACGTCATTAGCATGATGATGGACGTCTGTACTCTCCAGTAACCCTATACTAGGTACTAGACTTGACCTTCCCCCTTTAGGTAAAAACAGCCCTGCCCGCCCACAACTAATGGAATCTGGCTATCTCGCCCAAATACGGTTAGTGTACGGCTTGAGTACGGGAGCGGGCGGGAAACCCCGGGGTTCCACATCCTGTGGTCGGAGATGTATAAGGATGCCGGGGCTCATGTCACAGTAGCACGGATGACGACTGAAGAGAGGTGTTTACATGAAGTTGACACATCATATTGAAGACCATAGAGTCAAGATTAAAGTAGTGTTCACTCCATAAGTCATCTTCTTGCCTCATGAAATTCCGATCACATAGGCTTGCCCTTTTTCAGCGGCCGTCTTATACTGTAGTAGTAGCGTACCAACTATCTACTAGTATGAGAGGCGAAGAGCGCACAATACTTACGAAATAGCTGGTTGGCAATCATTGGACCCCGGTAGGGATAGCTCGACATAACAGAGTCACAGACTAGTAAGGTTCCTCTTGAACTAGCACGGCCATGCGAATCGACCAATCGAGCGCTTATACAATCTGACAGCGAGAAACCGGTCATCTCAGCTCTCTTATTGCTGAATTGCATATTATGGGAGTCCGATGTACGCTTCATGCAAATATGATGTGTTCTGTATTGACGAGTTGTTCACATTCTTAGGTAGCGAGAGATCATTGCCGTTCCGCTCTATAACCCACGCCGCCAGGAAATCTCTAGCCATTAGGATTCAATAAATTGAAATTCCAGGTTCTTGTATCATTTCTCCAAAGCACATAACCGATAGTCAATGGACTATTTGAGCATTTCTATTTGAATATGTAGCCGACGTCATGATCTATAGCAATGTAGTAAGTTAGCAAGGATAGTCCACTTGGTAAATACTGGAGTGGTGATAAAAAGACATACAAAGCTCCGCCACGGGTAGTGAACGGGAGTAAATAAGCCTCCAACATATACATCAAAGTGAGGAAGTGTTGTTGCATTCCATGTGTTGTCATTGAGGCAAAAGTGACGACGACTCGAAATCCTAAAGTAGTTTAGCGCGTGATCCGAGATGCAGGTGATCCCGAAGTAATTGATCTTATCGGCGCGATATCGAACGAGGCGGAGTCCCTCTTCTTCTTCTCCAGCTGTTACTTACTTCCCAGAGTCACGCCCCTCTCTTTGCTTTTGTCTTTCTCTCCCCTCGCTCTCTCTTCTTCACCCTGCTTTCGACGGGGCCTGACAAGCCTTTATGTGGAGCGCGCAATAAAGTGCTTCCACGGGTCTCTCTCTACCGTATTTCCCACCTTTCGTCTCGTCATAACCTTCCAAGTCTATGTTGCAGCCTCTCGCCCGGTCGCGATTTCTTCGACCGCCGTTAGCGCCAACGAGTCACTTCGTCCCGACCTTTGGTCGTTTTTATTTGTACTGCGCGACCACGATCGAACTCGCAGGCCTTTGTCGGATACCTGCATAAGGGGCTTGCATCATGGCATCTAACGCCGCCATGCTGTTGGACCCACGGGCCCACAGGAAACAGCTACAAAACGATGGTAACGACCCAGAATTTGCTTCTCTTTCGTCATATAGTCACAGCGACGCGGGTTTGGAGGCCGCATATGAGCGACTTTACTTTCCCTCAACGTCCAGAGACTGCCCCTCTCCTCCCCAGGACCCTATATTTATGAACCCTAGCCTTGTCGATACCGAAAGCTCATTTATCCACGGGACAGGCTCCCAGAACTCAGGCTACTCGAATTCTGCCGCTGCACCGGCAGGTACGGCTTCTGCAGCACATCGTCTTCTCAACCCGCAACGGCTACAGTCTACTAATAGAGGTAGCCCGAAGTCGCGATCACGACCACAGTCGGTTTCCTCACGCGGTGGGGACAGTGCAAGGGCATCCCCACAACATAGCGATACGCATGAACCTGATGTGGATGTGGTATTTACAACCGCGCAAGAGGAGCTTAGTGACGGGAAGCGGAATTCCGATCATGTCGATGAAGTGCGCCATGGGAATCTCATCGAGAATATGTACGGCGTTGAAAGACGGCTAAACCAGCCATACAAGAAGATAAAGACGGAGAAAGACCTGGCTCAGAGCGGGAAAAAGGCGATATTTACGGCGACTGGGGCCAGCGGGTTGGGTGAATGGGTGAAGGACGGTGAAGAGAAGTCGAATTCGTCCACACCAATCACCCCAAACGTTGTGGACTTAACGATTGGTGAGAAAAACACGGGTTGCTTGAATGGAATTTCATTGCTAATTGCTGCTGTAGATTCCTCCGCTGGAGCAACTGATGATGATGATCTACAAGTCACGGGTTCAAATAATCTCAGCATCCAGAGAGTGTGTTATGGCAAGCTAGAAAACGCAATGGTGCAAGCAGTGCTGGTACCAAAGCCTCCAGCTGCAGCTCAAACCGTTTTTGGGGACTCGGCACATGATTGGCCCTCAATCAAATTAGGAGTGCACCGACAGCCAAATCAAGGCAATAATCGGATTGAGGTTGCA